GCGGGGGCGCAGCAACAGTTTTATAGGGCAGGGACGTGACAGGTAGGGTAGCCCAGTGCACGGTGCTGAGTGAGAGGGGGTCAAGAAGTCAAGGAAATATGCCAGAAAACAACAGCAAAAATTACAATATGAAAAGGAATGATGACAATTACACACCAATACGAGGGCACACACGCGCGCAGTGGATGGGGCGAAAACGAAGCGAAAACTTGTCGAGGTCGAGCATATTCACACACAGACACAGTGAAGCAACCATCGCATGAATACATATGTACACGCAAACACACAAGAACTCATGGGGCCAAAAAAAAGCACCTGCAATTGATAATGGGGCGATATGGTAAAAGCCAAGCAACTAAAGCGCAAGGTGTCCAATTAGAGCATTCAACATATCAATTGGCTTGTTTTACATTTCTTCTGGAGGTGGAGTTGCCATGACGTTAACACAACAGAGCGTACACTCCCATACACACACACACATACACACAGAAGTCCCACTGTAGCATCGGAAAACGTCACTACTTCCAAAGTGGAGAAAATCGTACGCGCAGCTTTAGATTTTCATGACGCAGGTAAAACTTGCCGCAATACACATAATTGCCATTCATGAATATGTCTCGGCTTCCGCATCTCGTTTTCTAGAGGTGAGAGCGTGACACACACAGATTAAGTCACATGCGTCAATCCATTGAATTGTGCGTAAAGTTGTAATGTGTAAGTTTTACAGATACTCTTCCGATCGTGTCACGCGTTCATCTCGCAGGGGTAATTGCTACCAACACAAATTCACACACACACGCACAAACACTAGCACAGGGAACATGAAACATGTAAAACTGTGGTTGTTGTTGTTCCGCCTCTTTCTTTCTCTAGCCTCCTCCAACAACAATCACAAAAGCTGCTCAAATACAAAAAGCACACTTATAAATTTATTTAATCTCCGTCAAGCCACTCCGTTTCGTTTCGTTTCATATGCTAGGCTTCCCGCTTACACGATTTCTACATTTTATTTTACTTTATTTTCATTTGTCGCTGCTTCTGCGTCGGCTGCTGCTGCTGGCAAGATTTCTTTTCACGTCGACTTTAATATATTATTTCTCTTATCACTGGTGCTTTTGTCGCTGCCTTTTGGCTCATTTCTTGCTGTAGTTGTCGCCTGCTCTGAACTTTTACGCGTGGGCGAAGTGTGCGCCTCGTATTTTTGCATTAGCACATATATTATATATTATTAAGTGGCGATTGCCTTTCGGCTATTGGAATTTTTTCATGCTGCTTAAAACGATTCTCTCTTCGACTTTGGAGCAACGGCAACGGTGGAGCACACCTGCTCACAACACAACTAGGGATGCTAGATATTGGTGTATCAACTTATCGATATATATTGTCGGCAGATAAAATACCTGGGGCATTCATTGGGACTATCGAAAATAGTAATATACATATTTTTGAAGGGTATATGAACATGATACATGATATTTGGATTTAGAAGGAAGTCAATATTATTTTTCTATTGGTTTACGTGTTAAAATCATAAGTCGCCGACATTTGATTCTGGTGATCGATGAACAAAGTAACTTAAAAAAATATCGGTATTTTTAGGCGATAAGTTTAACTTATCGTCGATTTATTTTGAAAACAGTAAACCCGAGCAACAATCAAACTAGCATTTTTTTTTTGCAATAATTAATTATGATGGAGTTTGAAATTTTGTTCACTGAATTCTTTGAAAACATCGATAACATCTGGCGGGAGTGGGACACTACTTGTTGATACTAGAAAAATACCAAAACGCGTTAAACCTATCGTTTTACAGCACTAACATCAACTTGGAACTAAGATCGAAATTTTGAATTGGGATGCAAATTATCCACTTAAATGGTTTTAGGTTTAGTTAAAAAAAAACCGATTTTTTGTTTTTCTTTCGAAACATTTGTCGCCGCATTTCTAACGGTCACTGCGTTCCCTGCGCAGACTGGAATACGCACAGCGTCCGGAGAGGAGTCAAGAGTTGTGCTGGAATCCTGGAAGTGCGTTAGTAATGAATGAAACTTCCAATTGGCCTACTGACATCCTGAATGAAAAGATGCCGGGAATTCTACTACAGCAGAGCGTGAAAGAGGGGATAGATAGGGATGCAAAAGGAATGGAGAGGGGCCATTCATGTGGAGTCGCGTGACGTCAGTTAAAAGTTTTCCGTGCGTCTTTGGGGAGGCTGCGCGTGTCCGTGCTTAGGTGGGCGTTAGTTATGGGGAGTTTTATTTTATTTCTCTGTCATTCGCATACTAATTATGCTTCAAAATTTGTTTAAGTAGCAACATTTCATAGCAAAACTACAAAAATTAGCCAACAAAAATATTATCAAAATCCATAGTCAAATTCCAGACTTCAGAATGGTGAGGCGCAAGGCTGTTGGCGTAGGGAGGCAGCTTTCTCTGACCACTTACCAGCACCTGCCGTCACAGGGGGGTTGCTTTCGTGCCCCCTCGCAGCAGTCTCTTCTGGTCCCATCGATGGCAGAGTACTGGCAGAACATGTGTAACAAGCTGTCAGGCTCCCTGCCCCGCATGGCCATGCTGGTGCCACCGGAACCGAGCAGTCGCCGTCTGACCCGGCTGCGTCGCCAAATGATGTGGTCTCCAAGGGAGATTGTGTACGTGCCACACTCCAAAGGCATGGGCATGGTTCAGGACAACTATGTGAGGCAGCAGCACCAGCAAGCACAGATTCAGCAGCTGTCCCGCCAGCAGCCTTATCCGCCTACGTGGGGCAGATCCCAGTGGCAGGGACCCCCTCCTGCTTGGGGACACTACCACAGCAGTAGGGGCATGGCCCAGCAGCGTCAAAAGTCAGTCAACTCTCCGAACTTCAGCGCGTGTCCTGTCAGCCAGGCAGAGGCCCCTGTGTGCGATTTCGAGTCGGAGGCATCTCGTTTCGCAGCGACCGCCTCTCGAATAGAAATGCAGCAAAAGGAGCTGCACGAGAAGCAGTTGCAGCTGCAGAAGCTGCAGGAGAGCCACTTCTCGCCTCAGCCGTCACAGGTGATTGTCCCCGTGGGTATACTAAAAAAGCCGGCGCGTCCGGAAGGGGGCCAGAGTTCAGATACCGAGCTGCATCTCAAGAACGCAAAGCGGGTGAAGGTGGAAGGAATGGATGGCAAGCTTTACGAGAGGGTGATGGCTCCTAGCAATCCCAAACCGTTGGATACGCCGCGTCGGAGGTGGACTAGCAGCCAAGAACCACAGAGGGATCCCCATCAGGAGCATTATTCCAAAGAATATCAGCGGAAGCATCATCTAGAACATCCAGCAAAGACAATGAAGGTGCCACAGCAACAGCAGAGTTCTGGTACCTTTAATTTCGGGAAATTCGTCAGCAATTTTACAGATGGCTATGATCGGAACCCAGTTTCCCAAGTGACGGCACCAATACACAAGTCCAAGAAAAGCTCCAAGGTGTGCTCCAATGCAGAATCTGCAAGGCGACGACCCCCAGAGTGGCCCAAGGTGGATAGAATCTTGCGTCGAGCAGAGCCAGAGACGTCCAAGCGGGGGAGAAAGCGGTCGTCCAAAATATTGCCCGACCACCAAGTCGACCAGCTGGACTCTGGCAGCAGCACCAGCACCCTCACCGCAGTGATGAGCAGTGAATCGCTCAGGACTCCACAATCCTGCCTTGAGCAGAATGGTGTGGAGAATGACAGGCGAGGCAAAATACTCCCTAAGACTCCACACCAAAGTCAGACCTCCATAAAGACCGAACAGGAGGAAAACTCGGCAAGAGAAAGGCAAGGCGCTAGCCTGGATGTCTATGCAAGAACATTCGAGCAAGCACCACTCGAAGAACAGCCTGATTCGACGAGCAAAAAAGGCCGTATCCGGACGGTGAACATCAACCAACTCCTGCAAAACCAGGAGCACCAGGACGGCAATGCCGTGTGGGAGTCACTTGTGCAGCTGGTGGATCAAATGTGTGATCCCCTGGAGGATGAGGAGGAACAGCAGGAGAATGAGGCATCCGAGGAGAATCGTCTAAATGCTGGTTTCGGTACCGAGCGCCGTCCGAATAAGAAAAGGAAGCAGTACTCCGTCTATCTAATGGTCAACTCTGACGTGGACGAAGAAGACGACAGCTTGCCGAAGCAGCAACCGGACTCCCCCGTTATCCTGCCTGAGAGCCACAACCACAACCAGATCTTGTATGAGAACCACAACCACAACCCAATTTTGAATGAGAGGCACATCCTGAACCATCCTGAGATCAGGCAAGATCACTACGCCAATCAATGCTACAGATTCTTTCAGGAGGAGCAACGTAGGCCTAGCCACCGGAAACGGAAGCGGAGATCGAGCAGCCGCATCAAAGAGCTGGCCTACCCATATCCCATACCACCCCCGGGCCAAACTATGCGCCGACCCCTGCACTGGCCCAAGCCGGACATGTCCAGGCCCCAGACGCGACAACAGCGTCCTCGGTCGATATCAAAACCGCCTTCGAAGAAACGGCTCCATCGATCCATCAGCGCGGTCCATGAGGCACAGCGTCTCCACCGACTATGGGAAAAGGTGCCGCTGGTCAACCCAAGTTGCATGATGTATCCCATGATGAACAGTACAAGGCGACGGTACTATTGAGATATGCTGCGATCAGGACCAGCAGCTGGGTATCCTTTCTTCATTGTGTATCGTTTTGTATTATAGAAAAAGTATATTTGTCCCTTTGTAATGTCCAAGACAGACCATAGACAAAGTCCAAGTCATAGATTTGTATCTCATCCTTGGGACAAAACTGTGCCTCAGGCTTTTTGTCTATGACCTGATCCTGGAGTGGATTCCAGAAATAGGTAGTGAATGAAGCCATCTTTGGCCCAAAGTTTAAAGTGTACTCCATAAATAAATAAACCTAAAGCAACTATTACATGGAGCAGATAAGCTCTCCTTTTCCTGCCAGTTGGGAGAGAATACTTGTTCATTTTCGTTCACTTTACACAATACAGATCTTCTAAATTCACAGTCCCTTAAAATTGGATAATGAGCGGGTTTTTGCAGCAGACAGCAACCGGAAGACGGCAGACGCTGAGGCAATGATACTCTTGGGGCGCCACTCCATCTCAGAATAGCTGCCAAAACGAATCCGGGCATATCTCAGCATTCCGACATCCAGCAGCAGCCAAACGTAAGCAATGGCATCTAAGCACGACCTCGTTGATCACTGCTCCAGCCTGTTGGAACTGTCCTGGAACTTGGGCCATCGGCCCCGCGTTGAAGGCGGAAATAACGAATACTGCCAGGGACACTGCTACCATGGGCCCCCACAATTCCATCCGCATGTGGAGCACAATTACTACAATCCGACGTTTAACGCAAACAACGATCTGCGACCTTGTAATGGCTGCAAGAATGCCACGGCAAGGAAATCATCTCCACCCAAGGCTAAGGACAGTGTCAGAAGCAGATGCAGACCGCCCAATGATCTGCGACCCAAGTTTCCTGTAAACGTTCACTGTCCTTTCTACGATAATTCGCCGGACGTGAGGCTTGGTCCAACCCATGCGCGAGAATCACCTACAGAGATAGACGACATGGTTTGTGATACGACTCCGACTAGAGACGGAGAGCCGAACGATCTGAGAACTTGCGCTTGCCACAACTATGCCGCGCCAGGGGAGGCAGCTCCTACTTTTAGAGAGGATAAGGACAGGATGGGAAGAAGAGAGCCCCCATGCCCTTCTACGGCAAGAGGCGGCCCAAGCAAATGCCAGGCTTGCAACGTGGAAGGTAAGTCTTCCCATTAGTTGGAGTATCCATCCCCAGATCACAGACACTTCAGAGAATCATCCCACAGAGGTCGACTCGGGTACGGGGATCAGGTGCGGATACAGCCATCGCCATGACCCCCTATACTTTGATCCCCTCAGCTACAAGTCCGGGGGGAACAGGAGAAGGAGTAAAGCTACCAAAACCATCTGTGTCCCTCCCCCGTCATACCCTGAATGCCCGGCCCAGAAGAAGCCCCAGCAGCGTCAATGCCCCGATAAGACAGTCCAATATCGGGATACCCGCAGTGATGGGGCTGCGTGCGTCTCTACCTGCCCCGGCCGTGTGCGATGTTCCAGTCGTTGTAGGGATAACCGTCCTCTGGGACGAATAGCAATACGGGTCAAATGCCCATCCGGCAGCCGCTCACGGCGCCCGTTTGCAGTACGCTCCCGTTGCCCGTTGGAGCCCAAAGTCTGCACTCCAAAGTCCCCAAAGAAATCTTCCGCACGCTGCTCAAAAAAGCGTCAGACGGACTACGTTGCTCAGAGGCCATGTAAGAAGATAATCAAAAGGAATCCCTTTGCCGTATGCCGGGACAGCTCTCAAATAGATGACATTCTGCCCCACGAGGAGTATCTAGATAAATACGAGCGAAACTGGAAACATAGGGGCAATTCATGTGCAGGGAATAGGAGCACACGCGGGAGGAATTCCAGTGCCGGGCAACATCGATACTCTGAAATGCAGGAAAACCGCGATAATCGCGGCTATCCAGGCGGGACTTGTCCAAGGAAATGTCCGAACTACGCCTCTGACGAGACGATGGTGGAGCAGCAGGAGAAATACCATTGCTATCGCTCTCCAGAGGAAGGGGCATGTTCACGGCGCCACACGTCCAAGAAGAGACCCAAGAAAAGGGCCATTGCGGGTCCCTGCTGCCGAATCTGCGGCCAATGCGGATTTATGCCGACGAATCCGCGAGGGTGCATCGGCCTGATCTGCCGGGTGAAATCCAAGCGATCGACTGCCGGGAGTGGCCCAAAAGGAAAACTAATCATTCTGCCGCATTCCCAAACGGTAAGCGCCAAACACTGTAAGCTTCCTTCGGAACCAGCTATTATCTTCCGCTTTTTGCCACTAGAACAAGTTAACGACCATCTACAGGTCGTTGGGACCGCCACTTCCTAGGCGCCGAGTGTGCCGTTCCCGCACCAAGTCCTGCAAGAGCAGCTATTTTCCGGAAGCTCCAAACATCTGCCGCCTCCGCGTTCGCTATGTTGACCCTGAGCCCGAACGTTGCCAAGGGGGCAGAAATGGATCAGTGGGAGAAATCAGAAATCGCGTCAGACCCCGCGGAACATCCGTTGCAGAGGCGCCTTCTGTGACGCCTCAAAGGCACGCCTCCATCCCAAGACAAAGTGAGTTCCGTCCAGATCCATAATTGAATTTCTGCCAGCTTCAGTTTTCTCCGCAGCTTCTGCATCGGCCCGACACGCGCCCTCGGTTCACAGACATTCGAATCAGGGACGAAGTGGTGCTGCTAGTCCAAGTCGCTTGCCTCCCAACCAATCGACGACCAGACGCTCCCCTCAACAGCCGCAGGCCCGACACTCAGGGCAGCCGCAGGCCCAGGCACACCCCCGACATTCCCAGAAGCCGCAGGCACAGGCACGATACTCACAGCAGCATCGGGAACATCTCAGTCCAAGTCACCTTGAAGGCCGAATGTTTACCGCTTCAGTAAACCAATCACTACCCAGTATCGTACGTCCAATTCCAGTTAATCCCAGATCAGCGCCGTCCCGATCGTTCACACCGAGAATACCAAGCCCACAGCGACTCCAAGCGCCAGCGAATCAAACAGGAGAAGAGAAGCCACGTCCTAGCAGAGCACAAAATCAAGGGCAAAGCCCCACCAGAACACATTATCAAGAAACAGGTCCCACAAGGCCACCAAATGAGAATCGAGGGGCCACCAGGCCACACCATCAAGAGCCCGGTCCTACGAGGCCACAAAATCAAGGCCGAAGCCCCGACAGGTCGCAACATCCAGAGGCAGGTCCCGCTAAGCCACAAAATGAAAACAGAGGCGCAACCAGACCGCAGCATCAGGAGCCAGGTCCGTCGAAGCCGCCAAATAAGGATCGTCGTGACAGCAAGCCCCACCATTCGAGTCCAAGACAGCCGTCAACACCACCATCAGCCCATGATCTTGGTCGCGAGAGTAGGGGACCAGCTGCCTTCTATCGCGGCAGCTTTCTGAGAGTCCGCGAATCGCACGAGCACTTGAATGAAAGCAGCCGCGGCCCCGTGTATCGAAGGGAACCGATTAGCCATTCGCGTGGCAGCACCCGACCCGGAGTGCTGTTGAATCCGGACTCCCAGTCGGTGCTGGAAACGAGGACGTGGCCGAGAATGATGCAAGGATACCATGGTTACCTCTTCGGTGGCCCCAACATCAAGAGTCCGGGCGGTTGGAGCTGGCGCAGGATGCTGGGTAGCTATCTGAAGAGGAGAAGTTCCAAAATCTAGGAGTGCCGGGAGCTACACTTCAAACGAGACTGCCGAAAAAAAAATGGAACTTTTTGGAAACGACAAAACTATGGGCCACTCCTGGGACTTTCTGAACCCGCGCAATGAAGAAGTCGACGAAAGCACCCAGACGGACTCCTCCGCGCAGGTCGTCGACAGCTCTTCAGATGATCCACGGTCATCGGCCGGGAACGAAGCCACACCGCTCAGAAAGGGCTGCCTCAAAGGGAGCCCTCCCGAGTCCGGCAACGAGCGCATCTTTGTGCTTCGGAACTGCAATCAGTGCCACGACTACACCGTGGCTCCTTGCGGCAGGTGCAAGTGTCCCCTCAAGAATGCTCCCTGCAAGGGGAATTGCAAAGGCACGGACGAGGCTAGCGGAAGCTGTCCTCGGCACCAGAGGTCGACGGATGAAGCAGAGCCGCGTCGTAAGGGAGGCACCTGTCCGCTGTGCCAGAATGAGGGCAGTGATGGGATATCTGGCGGATTGTGCAGGGAGTGCAACAACAGGATCCATGACGCCATGGGGAAATACTTTCTCCAGCGATCGGAGAGCACACCGTACTATCAGGCACCACCCCCGCAGTCGCAGTATTCAGCCCCGGCATATGGATTTCCCTCGTATCCATATTCAGTTGCCACATTGCCACTGCCTCTTCCTCCGGTGCAACAGGCATGGAAACTTGGCAAGTCTGCTGCGCGAAAGCCATCCAAAGATACCTGTGGCTGTCCGCCTCCTCAGGCTTCACAACAACGTAAACGGCCTTCACTGCAGTCTGGACAGCTGGCATCACAACAGACTTCACAACAAGGACCACAACAGACTCCACAACAAGGATCACAACAGGGGCCACAACAGGGGCCACAACAGGGGACACAACAGGCTGGACAATGGCAACCGATCCCCAACGGCCAGCCATGGTCGCCGCAGCAGCCGCAGCCGCAGCAGCAGCAGCCGATACAGCAGCTATTGGGAGACCCCAATGGGGGCCAGCCCCTGAACATCATTGTGCTGCAGGACTGCGACAATAATGCGCTCATCGATCAGCTAACCACGGCCATCAGCCGGAGCGGGGGGCAGGGCCATGCCAATCTTCAGCCACCGCCAAACGAACAGGACGCGGTACAGCCAGGATACAGCAACTACAGCTACAATAATCCGCTCAGCGGCTACATTGACTACGAGGTTGTGGACTTCAATCGAGGCAGCCAGATGCAGTACAGTAGGAATATGGACTACGATGATGGCTATGACAACGATGGTGAGTGACATTGCCAGAAATCTACCAAGGATTCGACCCCTACTCTCTGTCTCTCTCTCTCTGCTTTTAGGGTACATGGATAGGTATCAGCAGAGCCGCAGCTCATGCGACATAACCTCCTGTGTAGCCAAGAACCCACCCACGACCTGTGCTTGTAACTCCGGCTCCTGCACCTGTAAGTCCTGTCCAAAGGAGTGTAAGTCAGACGGCGAGAAAACGGAGAATAAATCCTGCAGCTGCGCCTGCAACTGCACTGCCTGCGAGTGCAAGGTCCAAGAGACAGAGTGTGACCCCACCTGCGGGGGCAAGTGCGCCAGCAAGTGTGAGAAAAAGTGTGATCTGTGCGAGCTCCTTGCCAAGGCCCTGGAGATCTTCATTACCCTCTCCGAACCGAAGAAGAAAAAAAAGCCGCACAGGCCATACTCCATCTACTCCAAGAAGAAGGGAGCCTCCAATGCGGACTACATAAAGTTAAGGAAGAACAAAAACCGCAAGAGAGTAGCCTCCGGCTCCAGCACTCAGGTGGTGAATGAACTCCTGAAAGATGACTACGGAATGGGCAACAACAAGACCAGGTCCAGCATGCGGTCTACCTTTCACTCCGTCAGGCCGACCCCCTTGCATAGCGGAATGCCAAGCCCGCTACCATCCCATATGAACACCCCCGTTGAGAGCACCCACGAATTGTTACATCAGAAGTCCCTTTATCGCCATCACCACGAGAAGGACCATGAATACGATACGGACCATTTCTTCCTCCCCAACTGCGAGAAGAATCGCTGCAAGCACGACTGCCTGGGCAAGTGCAGCCAGCCGCCCCACAGCTGTCGCAAGGGCTGCAAGAGCCACTGCAGAGCTCACTGCCATAAGCAGGGCGGCGGGGATGCCGCCCACAAGAAGTCCGATCTCCAGGGCGGCTCCAGGCAATCCCGTTGCTTCCAGTGCAATGAAGGAAAGTCCTTGTACAGCGGACGTGCCTGGCAGGAGGTGGACATGAATGATACAGACTTTTCAAGACCCAGAAACGGCGAAAACAAACCAAAGAAAAACGGAGCGGGCTGTGGCGGATGTGCTGGCGGCAGCCCGGCGATAGTGCGTCGTAGTAGTGCTGGCGGTGTCCGGCACAAGAACGGACTACTGGGCCTCAGTCCCATCGCCCATTACCGCCCGGGGATGCTCAAGTTCCCTGTCAACTACCTACTCACCGGCTCCGATACCCGACGGAGTCTGGTGCGCACGGCCGCCGGTGTGACGCTCCATCAGACACCCTACGTGGACCTCACCGAGGCGACGAAGAAGCAGCTTCCCAGCAGAAGAAAACACAGAAAGAGATCGAGGAGCAGTCGTCCGGCAGCGAAGAAGTGGCAGACAGTTCCAATGCTCGCTCCGGGAAAATATGCATTATCCGGGATCAAGAACCATGACGGATAACCCCAGCTCGATCCAATAATGCATAATTTCCTTCACACGCGCAGTGGCTTATAGTTTTATCCTCAAAATTTATGAATATTTTCGACCATTTCCCTTTCGGATCCCTCATATTGGCAATAAACCGGCGAAATTCCAACTAATTCAAGGGGTCTTCCTGCTTCCGGCTTCCGGTGTTCGGCGGCCTGCGTCCGGCTTCCATCGTCCGCCTTTCGCCTCTCGATGTTGTTTCCGCTTCCTGTGGCCCAGATTAGCCTTAACCCGCTTGGAGCGCGGCGCAAATCAAAGGGGACACACAATTGACGCCGCAGGCGTCTTCTTATCGACTCGCACCAAAAGTCACTAATCACCGAAAATATTTTGGGGAGTTGTACCTGTCCTGCCTGTGCTGCCCGACCCGGGGACGTGAGCGGACAATGAGGGACTCTGGATCGCTTCCTGCGCTGCTGCTGCATTTCACACTGAATTGAAACGAGACTCTAATTTGGTTTCCCCTCCTGCTGCTGCTGCCACTGGCTCCTGGCCACATGTCCTGCAGAGGGAGAGGGACAGAGGCTGAGGGACAAGCGGAAAATGTTAATTGCTGTGCACGCACTTTTCCTCGCACACAGCAGGACATCCTTTTCCTTGTTTTTGTGTTGTGTTGGTGCCTCTGTTTGTGTACAGAGAACGCGCCTTTCCTTTGCTTCCGCTCATCAGCAGCAGCAGCAGCCGCAGCAGCAACAGATGATTCCCGTCCGGGGTCCTGGCCAGGCTCCTAATCCCATGTGTTGTGTACCAAGGCATGGAAGGTTTCTTTCTTTTGGGCAGGAAATGCAATTGTCTGGCCTCAAATATTTGCCAAAAATGCACCGAGCCATCCAACGGATGCGAGCATTTACGGTACGTCGATTGTATCTACGTATTGTTCTAATTGTGTTTGCCCAAATGTATCTGTCAGTTGTTTAGTTTGCATGATAAAGGCATTTGCGGATTTTGTTTGTCGTTTGACCTATCTATTTGTCTGCTTCTAGATTGTGTATGTCAGATGCATCTGTCGGATGCGAGAGTTTATCGCAGGATCTATTGAATAAAAATGTTTCAGTCGGATACGATCATCTGATATATTTGAATTCATTTCTGCATGATTTATTTCTGTGTTTATAGGGAATCTATGTATCTAATGATATCTATAGATATTCCTATATCAATCAGAAATCTTCCTATTCAGATTTCAGCCATCTTTCAGCTTCCGTTTCCCTTGGCATAAGTATATCATTAAGTATATAAATACCCTCAAGTAATCCCTTATTTTCGTAACTCCCTCACTCCAGTCACTTCCGTGCCCACCTACAATCCCACAATCCCGCAATCCCAGAGCAGATCTGTATAAGTAGTTTAACTAACAAAAAGCCGTCGCTTCATTTGAGATTTCCCTCCAGAGACAATTCAGTGAGCTTTACCCCGTACCACGCTCTTGTGGCATGCTGTGGCTTGGTGTGGTGTTTGTTCTGGGGCATGTTTTGTGGGTTTACTTTACTTTACTTTACTTTACTACTGTGCTGCTGCCCCTGAATGCCTGGAATGGATGGTGCACAAACCATTTACGTGACACGTTTTGTAAGTTCTCATTGTTGCCGTTAATCAGATTCACGGAGTATTTCTTCACCGTCGTCGTCGTCGTCGTCGTCGTCGTCGTCGTTCTCTTTATGTACTTTCATTGTTATCACTGGGAAATGCCTTAATCCGAATTTATGAAACGAAAGCGGAAGTCTGCTCTGCGGCTTGTTGTTTCTATTGTCTTCTCCGCTCCGGTGCTCGGCTCTGCCCCCGTCCCTTTGGTATTCCCATCTTCTGCTGTATGCTGTGTGGCATTTCTGATGCGATCTTTACGAGCGCCTCTAGTTTTTTCCAGCTTTTTATTTACGGTTACTTCATTTGGGGTTTTATCATTTTTTTTCTGATTGATTTGGGCGTTTTGCGGCACAGCGAATGAGACAGAGAGGGAAAGAGAGAATAATACGATTTCAACGGAGAGAAAACTCGGGAAGATCGACAGCTGTTCGCCTACCGGCAGACAAAATTCTACGAAGAGGGAAAACGCTGAAAACTTTATGACGGAAGATGCCACACAATCTGTTTATTGATTTATAGTCTGGGGAAAGTGCCAATAAAACACCGGGCACGAACCAGAAGCTGCCTAGGATTATTTGTAGTGCCAGTCCATATGTAGAGACCGGGGAAATCCCCCGAATGCGATCGTAAAATTTACTTCGCTCTGCACCACCACCACCAGCATCACTCCCTCTGTCTCTTTGGTCCTCCTTTGTATATTTTTGTTGATCTTTAATGACTTTGGGGTACGTGAAACATGTCCAGAGGAAATTTCGAATATATGTATATATATATACATATGTATGTACCTCTGGCTCGTAAATCGTTTAGTCTACTTCGAGGGGCTGCTTCGACGCTCTATAAATAGTTGGCGACACCAACCCCCGAAGATGGTGGCATGGTATCCAAAAGTAGACGGATATATTTGGGAATTTGATATATTTCCAAGGCACACGCTGCCTCCGATCCCTAGCCCTTATCCCAAAGAGTTCTCCAGCTGCAATATCTCCGCCATGCCATCCGCCAGATGTAAGTGTAAATTAACCATCGCCTCCGATCGTTTCTCGGGCCGGGGACTACTTCCTTCACTCCGAGACTCTATTTATGCGCAAACACGAACGTAATTGAAAACCAACAAAACTAAGCAAATAGTTTTCCTTTGGGCAATTATCATACGAACGAACACACAGGAATTACCTCACAGAGTCACGTACGAGGTCCGTTCTTGGGCCTAAGTAAACATCCTCTCTCCTCTTTTTGGCAATGCAATGCGCATTGCACATCCTGTCCGAGGCGATTCTTATCGAGATTCCTGGCCAGACAATAGAAATACACTCGTGGAATGCGATTGGATGCGTGGCAGCTTCTAGGCATCGTATGTGGACAGGATGAGCCAGGGATTATGAGTACCTGCATGTGTATCTGGGTTTGTCCTCTGCCTGGAAGCATTCCTAAGCGGATTGGCCTCCATTCCACAGCATAGCCCAGCGATTAGAATTGATTAGAGTGACTCCGAAATCAATTAGCTAAAAAACGGAGCACACGCGGGAAAAACTCAATATATTTTCCCAAAAATCGACAGCTGCTGATAAACAAGAAATTATGTAGAAGCATGTCAGATGGCAACGGGACACCGCCTCAAAGTGAAGGCGAGTGCAGTGGCTTTTGAGGTCGCTAGGTTATGTGGAGCTTCTGCGAAGTCGACTTTATAGGTTCTGAGAATAGATTCGCAAAACGAGTCTATGCTTTCGCATCATCTATCAGCTTCCATCAGTATCATTTCGATTCTTTCGCGATGAAGTACGCAGTGACTTTGATTCTGGCCCTAGCGGCATGCCACGTTGATGGATCCCTGCGATTTCTCGAAGATCATTGCAGTTCAAAGTTGCGACTCCACCGCGAACTCCATCTTATCGGAGGAGATGATGCCAAACTATTTTCGACACCATGGATGGCATATCTGCATCGAAATGGGAATTTTATTTGCGGCGGAACCCTCATCACCTATCGTTTGTATTTCCTTTTGTGAATATTTGATTGAAGCTTCATGAATTCATGCATTCATTGATTTCAGGCTTTGTTCTCACTGCTGCGCATTGTAGAAAGTTGGACGAGCAAATGTAAATACAATCTTTTTTAAGCACACAGATAATAGATACTTTATGCCTACAGAGTGGTGCGACTGGGAGAATACGATGCCAGAACGCAGATAGATTGCAGAGATCGAACATGCGCACTTCCCTTTGAAGACCATGAAGTCGAGTCCTTTCATTCCCATCCCTCCTACACGACGATCAAGCACTTCGATATAGCTCTCGTTAAACTCAAGACGAGGGTGGTAGAGCAAAGTATTACCATTATAGTATATCCAATATCAAAGATTGATAAGCATCTTTGTTCTAGTCAACATCACACCGATCTGTCTGCTGTTGGACACCACGGACACATGGCAGCGTTATGTAGATTCCATTCAACAGTTTTCTGTGGCCGGCTGGGGCATGACCGAAGCGGGGTCGCTTAGCCACGTTCTCAAGACGGCAAAAGTCACGAAGGTTGACGGGTTAACCTGCCTGGCTGACTTTGGTTTTGAAGTCGATCAGAGTCACATCTGTGCCGGGGATCCCGCTCGCCATACATGCTACGGAGACTCTGGCGGCCCATTGTTTGCAACAATAAGCGAAGATTTGGTGGACTACAACGTTCAGTTTGGGATTGTCAGCTACGGAGAGAACCCTTGCCAAGGCGTGGGCGTATTCACGAATGTTAAAAGCTATATTCCATGGATCGAACACACCATAAACAGGACAAACACTGTAGCATAAGAAATATATTGATGTTACATTTTGGTAGTGAAATATATCAACTACAGATGCATGCTTGTCATCTGCTAGGCATCGTATGTGAACAGGATGAGCCAGGGATTAAGAGTAGATGCATGTGTATCTGGGGTTTTCCACTGCCTGAAGTCAACCCTAAGCGGATTGGACGCCATCGCACAGCATCGCATCGCAATAAGAAATGATTAGAGCGACGCCAAAATCAATTAGGTAAAAAAGGAGCACACGCAGGAAAAACTCAATATATTTTCCCAAAAATCGACCACTGCAGATAGACAGGAAATTATGTAGAAGCATGTCAGATGGCAATGGGACACCGCCTCAAAGTGAAGGCGAGTGCAGTGGCTTTTGAGGTCGCTAGGTTATCTGGAGCTACTGCGAACTCGACTTTATAGGTTCTGAGAATAGATTCGCAAAACGAGTCTATGCTTTCGCATCATCCATCAGCTTCCATCAGTATCATTTCGATTCTTTCGCGATGAAGTACGCAGTGACTTTGATTCTGGTCCTAGCGGCATGCCACGTTGTTGGAGCCCTGCGATTTCTCGAACGTCGTTGCACCTCAAAGTCGCGACACCGTCGCCGACTTATAGGAGGAGTTGATGCCAAACTATTTTCGACACCATGGATGGCATATCTGCATCGAAATGGGAATTTTATTTGCGGCGGATCCCTCATCACCTATCGTTTGTATTTCCTTTTGTGAATATTTGATTGAAGCTTAAATTCATGCATTCACTGATTTCAGGCTTCGTTCTCACTGCTGCGCATTGTAGAAAGTTGGACGAGCAAATGTAAATACAATCTTTTGGATGCACACACAGACAATAGATACTTTAAACGCATTTCTTCTGACTACAGAGTGGTGCGACTGGGCGAATTCGATGTCGATACACAGATAGATTGCAGAGATCGAGGATGCGCACTTCCCTTTGAAGACCATGAAGTCGAGTCCTTTTATTCGCATCCTTCCTACACGACGCTCAAGCACTTCGATATAGCTCTCGTTAAACTCAAGACAAGGGTGGTAGAGCAAAGTAATACCACCGAAATCATATGTACATCCCATATCATACATTGATAAGCATGTTTCTTGTAGACAACATCACACCGATCTGTCTGCTTTTGGACACCACGGACACATGGCAGCGCTATGTAGATTCCATTCAACAGTTCTCTGTGGCCGGCTGGGGCTGGACTGAAGCGGGTTCGTTTAGCCACGTTCTCAAGACGGCGAATGTCACGCAGGTCGACCAGTTCACCTGCCTGGCTGACTTTGGTTTTGAAGTCGACCAGAGTCACATCTGTGCCGGGGATCCCGCTCGCCATACGTGCTACGGAGACTCTGGCGGCCCATTGTTTGCAACAATAAGCGAAGATTTGGTAGACTACAACGTTCAGTTTGGGATTGTCAGCTACGGAGAGAACCCTTGCCAAGGCGTGGGTGTATTCACGAATGTTAAAAGCTATATTCCATGGATCGAACACACCATAAACAGGGCAAACACTGTAGCATAAGAAATATATTGATGTTACATTTTGGTAGTAAAATATATCAACTACAGATGCATGCTTGTATCTGCTAGGCATCGTATGTGAACAGGATGAGCCAGGGATCAAGAGTAGCTGCATGTGTATCAGGGTTTTTCCTCTGCCTGTAGTCAACCCTAAGCGGATTGGACGCCATCGCACAGCATCGCATCGCAATTAGAAATGATTAGAGCGACGCCGAAATCAATTAGGTAAAAAAGGAGCACACGCAGGAAAAACTCAATTTATTTGCCGAGAGATCGACAACTGCTGATAAACAAGCCATTAGATGCACTTGAGATCGCAACAGGACACCACTTCAAAGGTGGAACATCTGCGCTGCAATTTGAGTGCAGGACCATCCTGAGGTGCCTTTCCTCACGTACATATACGCGTGCCCGACGTGGGCGTTATCCTGGAACTCGATCGATTGGATGGCATTTCCAAAGAAGTACGGTCGTAACCCGAGTCATCATCTCACTTCACGCTTTGGCCTATGACATGCGAGGAGCCAAAGGATTCAGTATGAAAGAAGGAGGGCATACACGCACTTGACAGCCAGTCACATGTCTGGCCACAGACCATATGCTACGATATGCTACGATCTGCTCCGATCCTCAGAGGACCTCGCCTTGGCATGCGAGTCAGACCGCTTCGATCCTGCGGCTGTCACTCCGAAAACAGAGAGAGGAAGCCCTAAGGTCTGGAATCATTTACATTGAAATGCTTTCAATGCGAGGCAGGAAAAAGGATTTCCTGTAATTACTGAGAGTCCATGGATGCGCTGGATATACTCGTGTGTATGTTCGTTGGCTGCGTAATTAGTCAGCGGGGAAAATTCTTCAAAAATTAATGAATCAGTGAGTGAATGAATGAATGCATTATTAATATGTGGAAGTGCTATGTACACAGTGCACGCTTGAAAGAAGTACTAGCCTTGGGTGGAAAGAAGCAACGGAAAGAGGGAAGTGCCTTACTTTTTAAACAGAGGACTTGCGTTGAGTAAGAGATAGTCCCAATGATCTAGTTGAGGCATAGTTGAGAGTAGTTTCCAGTATTTTTCCACCAATCCCTTGTCTACAGAAGTTCGCTTTAGCGAGTGCTCACTCTTCCATACCATGTACACATGTTTCGGTTTTGGTAACGAAGTGTGAAATGATAAATTGATGGAAAATGGTAATGGAAATTTGAATAAATTGGGTGACAAGTCAAAGGTCCACCACGATGAGTTGTCCTCTAATGGGGAAATGGTATTTGAAGTTGAAATCTAATGAACACCCGATGACAGCCGCACAGGGTTGGAACATGAAAGGGATAAACCATGGGGGTTTCCTGTCACTCTCACACTGAATTTCCATGTTGAATCGCTCTTCTATAAAGTCGCTTAATCTCTAAACAAAAACCATCGAATCCAGCAGAAGTTAGCCCACATTTCCCATCCTGTTGGCCCTTTCCGATCTCTGAAACCTTTTCATTGACCTCAGAGATGTTGACTCAATCAGCTTAACAGTCGGAGCCGAGCCAGAAATGCGGGTCGGGCATCGTACTGCCAGATACAAACGATCTACAAATATGTCCACAGCTGGCGGGCCAAAACAGCTGAGAGACAAAGAGAGAGAGAGCGAGAGAGAGCAAGCCCACAGTGAGCGCACGAGAGGGAGGTCTATTGTGCGCACAGAGAGAGCGAGAGAGAGAGAGAGACGAGCCGAGGCAACAAAACTCGCTGCACAGACACGATCGCTATCAGTCGAAAACGCTGAGTGCGCGCGAACAGACCGCAGATACAGATACACCAAAGCACGAGCGCATTACTCATCCGTCAGATACGAAGATACTCGCAGTCGCACATACAACATTGCAGTTTGCAAACTGGATTTACCACCCAAAAACCAAAAGCCACAAATCGTGTTAAGTGAAAAACGAAGCAAATTGCAGCAGCAGTAGCAAACAACAACAAAAACTTTCAAAACTCGAGCCAAAGCGAAATAGAAAAAGTAGTTCAAAGCGTGAAAAATACGTTACATGCTGCAAAAATTGTGAAACGTATCCGAGAGATACAAAAGAGACAGACAGAGAGAGAGAGAGAGCGCTTGAAGCGAAAGCCAAGACAAGCGACAAAAAGTGCAATTTCTAAAAATATAATATACATATCAAACATATAGTTAATAATTCCAAGCAGGAAGCTTCCATCAACAAAAGAGATAGCTCGTAAAAACGTAAACAAATCGGAAGTTCCACTATCGAAGCGGATTGCCAAAGCAAACTATTGTTGGATTAACATTCGTTCATTTTCCGATCAAGGTAAGTCGGTTTACATATTTTCGAGCGAAGTCAGGCTTCGTTTATGGCCCTCGTTAGCACTCCAACCAACCAAAAAAATACCCAAAAATCGATTTGAAGGTTCAATCCATTAGCCAGCATTTTGTTGGTGGGTCCGACTGTTTTGCTTTTTGTGGCTTTGGCTAATTGACCTCTAAAGATGTGCTCCAAAGTGTTGCCAGCATTAGGCCTGACAGATATATTCAAGTCTGTAGAGTTATTGGAAAGATTATAGTAGTTCAAAAATTTTAAGGTCAGCACAAAAGTTCAATGAAGTTTTTGAACAAGCTCAAATCTTTTTTAAAGGGATAAACCAATGTTAAATCTTTATTTTTAAGTAAAACACAGCTTTTTTTGGCTGAAAAAAATCTACATCTAATGAATATTTCAAAGACCTTAAAGTCTACGTGAAAGATTTCTTTGAAGTGCAGCTGCAAACATCTCAAGATAATGAAGATTTAGTACAAGTTAAGAACCATCTTAAAGGTTTACTAAAAGTTAAGCGGCTTTAGTCTTTATTTCAAGCCAAAACATTTGTAGTAGAACAGCAGAAATCTCTCTCCTAAGAACGCTATAGAGAAAGAGAATGGAGAGAACCGCAACGGGGAAAACACCACTACCACTGCCCCACACACACACACACACGCACACAAAGCGACACTTAAAATACCAAGACGGCAGCTGCAAAAAAGAAATTTTTGTGGCCAAGTCGATAAAGATGCATTCAGCTCGATTGTTAGCCTCCCTCCGCTGTGGTCTGGTCTGCTCTGTTCTGTTCTGCGGCTCTCCTGCAGGGCTCCGTTCTGTTCTGCTTCTCCTCCTTATTGAATGCGCGCGCATGCGCAAAGGATATGCGCAGAGGGATGGAGATGGAGACCTACAATGAAAGGGAGGGTGAGCAGCACACACACACACGCACACACCTCTGTATTCTCTGTAATCTTTGCAGCTGCAGGACAGACCGAATGTGCACCTGGTCCCGCAGTCCGTAGTCCGCCGTCCGCAGTCCGCAAAGCGCCTTAATTAATTTCCCCCAGCTGACTCACCTCCAGCTCCAGTCCCGAAAGGAAATGACAAACCGCTGACCGACTTGAACGCCTTCTACTCTATTGACGTCTTATCAGTCTTCACCTCCGGGGGGCCTGCTTCCTGCTGCATGCCTCACTACACCTTGACACGTGCCTTCCTCCCCTTGATTTAGTCGTACTCTCCCACTGAACAACTTAAAAGACTCCGAGAGGCTATTCCGAGATGCATTTGGCGCCATTTGGCCGTACACGCGGCTGTATTTTTCTGAACGCATCAGCGACAACAAGACCGAAAGTCGTCACACATCCGTCCATCACGACAGCGACAGCGCTGTGGGGCTGCAGCACTGATGGGGAAATGATGAATGGGGGACAAGCGACGGCGACTGTCAGTGCGCAGACGTCGGGCAGACGGCGATCCCGATTCCGCCGCCGCCGCCGCCAGACGCAGCCGCCTCGATGGCGTTACATGATTTGTAATATCAGCAAACATACGTCACAACAGCAACAGCAACAGCAACAGAAACGGCAAGAAGAACAGCAGCAGCAGCGGCAACGGCAACGGCAACAGCAACATGTGCATAAATGGAATCCGGTTCGGTTGCTTGAGTGCGACTGCGGCTGGCAAAAATGTTTATTTTTAAAAAAATATTCAGCAGATTATCATCTGTCGTCTGGTGTTTTTGCATCGCTTGTACTCCGATGAATGGACGAGTTTATTGCCTTGAAATCTAGCCAAGAAAATAGACAAAACCATTTTGCGTTTGCATCATGTTTAATCATGTTTACAGCATTTACACGAATTGTAAACAAAATGATAATTATCTGACAAGAGATGTAAACTTTTCTATTGAAATGCAATTTTATTCGGCAATTAGAGAGCAGCACTGAGGATCCCAAAGACTAGGAAAACTTAAATTTAAATTTAAATTTCTATTTAATTTGAATTTAAATGAAAGAGGAAGGTCTCCCATTTTTGAAGATGATAAACGTGTAAATAATAAGCGAATTATGTCAGCTTCCATGATAAATGTACCAAGAATCTGTATTGAGAAAGCGGAAATGCGAGATGTGGGAGCGGATGAAGGAAAAGGAGATTGCCATGGGATGGGACCCGTCGTAAACACCCGCCGACAGAACAGAACAGAGCAGAGCAGATCAGACAAGACACAAGCCGACACGAAAATACACATACAACACTCGTACATACATATTTGTGGATAGCAAATTACGCACTTAAAGTGCTCGCCAAAATGACAGGAAACGCGTCATTTTTACGAACTTCAAATTACGATTTTTTACGTTTCGTTTGTCTTTTGCACACTCAAAGACGGCATGTCTCCAGGTCCCAATTGTGTGTGTATGTGTGTATGTTTGCGTGGTTGTTTGTTTAGTAGCTGCCACTAAGTAGCTACGAAAGACAGGGACAGGCAGATACAGAGGTAATGGTGCAAAGTGCAAACATACAAAAAGACTGACAGAGCGAGAGAACGCCCTTTAAGCTATGAGTATATTTCGTGAATGTAATTAAAACTGGCGCAAGTATCGCACATTTCCTCATTTATCTGCACTTGTGCGTGTGTGTGTGTGTGTGTGTCAGTATTTCCTTGGAAAAAACAGACAGAGAGAGAGAGAGAGAGAGAGACGAACAGGGTGCGAGGGTAAACTGCATCCTGTGTGCGCAGGCGGAGGCGGATATGCGAGCATTGCACAGACGATTCATTCCACTTCCTGTCATTGACTTTGTCAACGGACAAAGCGAACACCAAATAGTAACAGAAAACCATTTCCCCTGCCCTGCCATCTAACCCCAAGACAAGACAACGACGAAGCGTGAAAATGCGACGCGTGCTCAACACGAGTTCTGTTCTCGATCAGGCGAATGTCATTGCCACAATGCCATGTGCTCCCGCCACTGCTCCCGTCACTGCTGCTGCTGTTCCTGCCACAACGAATCAATCACTCTGTGGGTGAACGACATTCCCGGGTTCGAATCACGAAACGGAAGCCCCGCCGACATTTGGCATTTGATGAGGAATAATCGTAGTCATCGTCGTCTCACCTACAAGCTTTTCACACGCTTTTCCTTTGACTTCTCCGACCCGAATCGTGGCAGGGGCAACCCAAATTTCATTCCAGCGCTGTGCCCCACCACTTTTCATCTCTACAATTTGAATTCGACATCACCTGAAGTTCGGCAATAGTTTGAATCATTCTCCTGCGGGGGGCTACGATCTCCCACCTCTACGTATCTTCTAATGCTGTCCCTTGGAATAGTTTATGGTGAGTCACCATTCGGGTGATAAGCGTGGGTCTTAATGGGGGCTTTTGGGGGAGCATTAGTCCCATCTTAGGGTTCGATTGGGAGCTCATTCAACCTGCTCCGGTGCACCAACATGTTTAGCATAAACATATTTCGGGTCCAGAACAAACGATCACACAAGAAACCCCAACAACAAGTGGCATTCATTGCCCTTCCCAAAGCGATGTGTGTGGTGGTTCCGACAACTCTTTCCATATTCTGTTGATTCAGCAGTTCATTTGTCTGCCCCATAGCCCATGGTATCCAGAATTTCGTGGGAAATGTAGCGCCCTTCCAGTGCCACTGCCGCTGGCAGCGGACTGTGTAATTAAAACTGATTCCCTCAACGGCGAGGCGACTCCTTTACGCACTTCCTTGGACGGAAGCTCGCTTGGGTATTCCGGAAAACTATTAAAAGGTTCGCCCCGGCGCTGGCCCCGCTTCCTCTGTCCTCTGACTGTTCCCCAGTCAGAGGAGCCCTTAAATCTCGGCGCTCGGAGCTGGGCCGCCGGCTTCCGCTCTCTTGGCTTCCCTTCCCCTTCCCGTTGTCATTCCCATTGCCATTTCCACTTCCATTCGCATTCGCATTCGCATTGACACCTTTTATGCCGTCCGTCGGCGGATGTTCCCTTGCCGATTCAAAATCGGTCTTTGTTTTGCTCGCCTCTTTCGCAGCTGCCAATTGGGAGGGTAATTATTTCCGCTCTTCCGCTCTTCCTCCGTCTCCGCCGCCGTTCCGTTCCGTTCCATTCCGTTCTGTCTACGGTCTGTTGGTAATCGCAATCGCAGTCGTTCTCTGCCTGCGTTTCTATGTCAGATCCGTCCGCCTCTCCCGCCCCCCCGTCCGCTCTCTGTCAGCAGAATGTGACCGCTGATCGATATGACAGCAGCGCTGGGTAATCATTATTCAGCGCTTCCTTTCGCGTGCGACCCGACGCCTCGATGCGGATGACGCCCATTTCTGCCATCCGCCAACAAGGTCAGATTTAATAACAAAATATCATTTCATACAGAGAGAGAGAGACAGCCAGAGAAGAAGAGAAAGAGCGAGAGCGAGAGAGAGGGGGACCGAGCCCGCAAAGTTCTTCCATTGCGAACTTTGGATACTCTAAGTGGAGTGGCGAATGAGTAAACCCCCATGACTAACTTGCGGATGAGTACTATTCGACTCCCTGTAATCCTGGAGCAAAAGGGTATACTGCCTTCGGCTGGGTGTATGTGACAGGCCTATAGAACCTATGGATCTCAGGGATATCAGTTGTAGATACAATTATATTTCTTTCTATGAAAGAGCTCACAGATATCAAATCAGCTCAGAGGGTATCTCCTAGCCGTCGCTGCATCTCATCCATTGATTCGTTTTATGCGTGTTAGTATTTGTATTTATATTTTCGCTGCCGTTGCGATTAAAACAATTGCCAGCTCGTGAAAGCATTTCCGTCACCCAGCCCAGCCCCATGTGCATTAACCCCCTTTCCGCTGCCACGCCCCGACCAACTCCCCTTCCGCCAGGGGCTCCCGCCCCTTGAGCGACAAGTGAGTCACCGCCATTAATCGCAAAAATGCCTCTCTTTCTTTCACTTGCAGACAAGAACGCGACCCACAATCACCATGCAAGTGGAGGCCAGCTATCCAAAGTATGCCGGACGTGTCCCGCCCCTGGATCTGTCCCAGGTGAACGCCGCCCAGGAGCTGTGGGCCGTGGGCAGTGGGACGCCAACAACGCCATCGTCCAAGCGTCACCACCACCACCACCATCCCTACCACCACGTGCTGGACAAGTGTCGCGGCGGCGTGTCGCTGCTGAGCTCCGACGACCACAACAACAACCGATTGAGCATGACGGGATCGGGTGACGACATCATGATGAGCCCCACGACCAGCCTGCCGCATCCCATGGGATCGGATGGCCTGCCGCTGGATCCCCGCGACTGGACGCGGGCCGACGTGTGGAAGTGGCTGATCAACATGGCCGTCTCCGAGGGCCTGGAGGTGACGCCCGAGCTGCCACAGAAGTTCCCCATGAACGGCAAGGCGCTCTGCCTGATGAGCCTCGACATGTACCTGTGCCGGGTGCCCGTCGGGGGCAAGATGCTCTACCGGGACTTCCGCGTGCGCCTGGCCCGCGCCATGGCCGTGCTCTCCTAGGGGACCTCACGGTACCCCACCCGTACCGAGGTCCTTCACCTTCTCACTGGTTGTACATACTCTAGGGTTCGCTTAGGCTAGTTTTAGTTCAGTTAGTTGTAATGACTAGTCGCTAGTGCTCTCGTTGATTAAGTCTTAGCCATTAAATCTGCATTTCGATGTTGTCAAAGAAGCTCTGGCTCTTGCTCTGGCTCTGGTTCTCTTCTTTTGTTTGAGTTGAATCTGGAGCGGAAGTGGAGCTCAAATGCTGTCCTATTAGTTGATTAAGTTAGCATCTGATGAAAATATAAAATGAAATTTTATAAATGAAAACGTGGCTTGGCTTTTCATTTGTAATTGGAGATGGAATGGAATTATAAAAGTTTCAAGTATGAGATGAAATCGAAGATATATAAATGAATTTCTGTGTACCCAACTAAGGAAACTAAGGATCGAATTTCCACTCACAAATATAGATATGAAGATCTATACATATAATCCCTACATGTATGACGCTGAAACATGAGAAATCATGTGGCAGAATGTACTCAAATAAATTTGTAGATATGGAAAGAGCCTTGATATACAATCCACAGTTAGAGGGGAATGCTTTGTAGATTCTTTGGCATCTAAATTCTTGGTAGGCATATTAAATATATAGTCGTTATAGTCGAGTATCCACTGCTGCATCCAAGTTCTTTAGTCTTTTAGTCTCTGAGGCCACTCACTAGCTGTGAATTTTAGAATAAATGTGGTTTATTTCGGTCTCTGATCTCTGTCTCCTCTCCTGTCCAAAGGAACACTTACCAGGCGATACCAAATTCCTAAAAGAAGAGATCTTCTGTGCTTTATGTTCTGTTTATGTCTTTCCCAATTCCCCCAGCAAACCCGCGCATTGACAAGTGAAATACGTTTGCCCAATTAGCACATCATTAACATTTACTTAGGGACGGGGATCGAAAGGGGGAAAAGTGCCCCCACACACTCACACAGAGGCACAGACACACACAGACAAGTGCAATAAACTCTTTGTTATTGCTGGCCAGAAGTTAATGCCAACATTTGTTTAGGCCTAGGCCATACATAGATCAGATCACCACGAAGGTGTTTATTTTCTGAAGACCCTGTTTTCCGTGTGTGTGATTAATGGTGGATGGACTAGGCGGGGGAAATGGAGTCACTTCACAGCAAATAGAGGGGGAAAGGAAAGGGGTAGCTGAGAGATCTGTCATCTATCTAACCATTCAACCATTCATCTGGTTTTTAGAGCCATGATTCCCATTTTAGCCCCCATTTCAGTAGCAACACAGCATTTGCAAAAAACAGAAACCAAACAGTGGAAAAATTATGACAATAACGGATAACGATAATCAGCATCGGTAGTCAAATAGAACCCGGATGGATAGATAGAAAGATATATACATGCATAGCGATAGAGAGGGAATGAGAGAGATAGATAGAGAGAGAGAGAATTCAAAGCGCTCCATCCGCCCGTGCATCCGCTCATTTCATTTGGGTTTTTCTTTTTGTATTGTGTGTCTTCTATGAATGAACAGACACACAGATGCATAGACAGACGCACAGATACATAGATCCATAGATACTCAGATACAGATACGTGGTTCACGTTGCTCTTCCTGCTACTGCTGCTGGTGCTGCTGCTGCTGCCGTTGACGCGCTCCATGTGGCTCATTGTCGCTCGATTTTTTGTAAGTTTGCATTTAGTGCAGTTTGGCTCTGTTTTCGGGAGCATCCGGGATGTAGTTAAAGGCAAAGGAAGTGAGACAAATGAGCCCCGACCTCAGCAGTCCGGACCCAGACCCAGACACAGAGCCGAGCTGTTCAGCCGCTTACCTTGTAAAACAGATGTCGCAACCTGACACATGCCACAAAAGAAGAGGCACAGGGCAACGGGCATGGGCATGGGCATGGGCATGGGCAACTTCTGGGCATGTCCAGCAGCTGACGCTTCACAGGAATCTGCGGCCAGGAAGGGACACCAACCAGGAATTTCAACTGAAATTGTAACAGTTGTAACTTCATTTCAGTTGAATCCACAACTGAGGGGAGAACCCTGAGCTGGAGGCTGGAGCAACCGTCCTTCTGCAGGTAAATAGGATGAGGCACATGTGGATTCAGAGGCAGCGACACAAGGGGATGTGTAGCGGTTCCCGGTGGCTCCTGTCCCAATGCGGCCAGCCACAAAAACTACTATCTTCGATGTCAAATTATGATCAATCATTCGCCCCACTCCGGCCCGTAATCAAATATTGATTCATAATCTCTCTATCTTTCTGTGGCCGATGCCAGGGGCAGGGCAGCGGCGAATAGTCTAAGCAAAACAAACCGGCAAATCAAATAAATCATATAAAGACCGGGAAAATTGAGGAAATGCCGCTTATGTAAAGTAGAATATCCGCTGACAGACGACGACTGGCGATCGGCGATCGGCGACCGGCGACCGGAGACCGGCGACCCGAGCGACCCAAAGCCGACGAACGGAAGACGAGGTGCGAAAACAATAAAACACGGACGGAACGGAAGTGGACGCGGAAGCGGACGGAAGCGAACGGAGAGCGGAGAGCGGGGCTGACGGTTCCGTCGATCGCTCTGCGGCTTTCTCAACCGCACGCTGCACACACAACGGTTCCAGCTACCGGGCTTCAGCTTCTGCTTCTGGCCTGCCCTGCCCTGCCATGCCCTGTGCCCTGCCTTTTGTGGCCTTTGCCAATTTGTCGAAATGCTTTTCCGCTTTTCCGGCTTGTTGTCTTGCGGCTTCCCGTAATTGAATTTCGTTTCGAAGGAAATGACTAAACCAAAAATCTTTCACTCTCCTCAAGTGCTATGACTCGCGGGAGGCCCCAACTTATCAAATGGGCTGGGGTTCGATGGTGCAATTGAAACACTCCAGAGCAACGGAAAGAACTTTGGCTTCGTTCTCTTTTTTTTTTGTATTTTTTAATTAGTTCATTGGCTGCAGTGGCAGGGCGCGATATTTCCCACGAAAGTCTGGATACCATGGGCGATGGGGTAAACAAATGAACCACTGAATCAACAAAATATTGAAAGAGTTTCCAGAGCCACACACAATGCCTTGGGCTGGGTATATGTCTGGGGGAACGGGGGGATGGGGATGGGGGAATGCCACTTGTTGTTGGTTGTCTGGGGAGTTGGATTTCTGGTTTGTTGTTTGTTTGTTTGTTCTGTATCCGAATAGAAATTCTAAACATGTTGGTGGATCAACATTAGAATGGACCCTGCACCGGAGCAGGTCGAATTCGAGCTCTAAGATGGGACTAATGCGCCACCAAAAGCCCCCATTACGACCCACGCTTATCACCCGAATGGTGACTCACTAGAGCGGATGCCATAAACTATTCCAGGCGACACCATTAGAAGATACGTAGAGGTAGGAGACCGAAGCGCCCAGCAGGAGAATGACCCATAAGGAATACCTCCAGCTATTGCCGAACTTCAGGCGGTCCACAGCAGGCGAACCATAATTGTGCTTCGTCTACGAAATTCATTATTTCGATTTCAATTTCAATTCCAAGAGGTTTTGGGGATAGGGAGCCATGGGGCTCCATGGCGGGCCCACCCATGAGGCACACATCTTGGTAACTTCCGCCCAGCGTTAGGAGGCGGTGGAATCTTGGCAGTCTGTGATGGCAGCGAATTCAAGAGCACTTGAGGTTCCGCGCATTGGATTTCTGCGTTTGCGTTTTGTTTTTTCGGGGGCCTCCACGACTTGGTTCTCACTCCCACGCTCTGGAAACCCGGCTTTGGCCATGAGAGTAGGAAAAGCTGTGTGAAAAGTGTATTTCTTGTTTTGTTTTTTGAGGGAAATGCCGAGAGGGCAGAGGCGGAGACAAAGACAAAACTGTCATTGCCAGCAGACCCACACACAGATACAGATACATAAAGAGATACGGATACATGGGAGAATGTTGTGCATGGCGAGTGTGGTCTGATTGCCACACACTAGAAGAAGTTCATGGGAACGAACTTTGCGGCCACTCAGCCGTAAGTCAAGTGTGAAGGGAGTGAGGGCACAGAGGCACCTCCTCCATGAGAATGGAATGGAAAGAGCAGGGATGGTATGGGATTACAGCGTGGGCCCCAAACAAGTGCAGCCATCTAATAGAGTTCTGCTTTGTAGAAGATATCGTAGTACCACAAGCCATCCCTCCCATGAATGCGACAATTAAAGAGTTGCTCCATTCATAAAACTGCACTCATACCCGCTCCCGTCCCTCTTCTCCGGCAGCCCATTCCTGCTTATTTCCCCCAATCCCCATCCCAATCTCAACTCCAATTACTTACTTATGCAAGGCAACGCATAGCTGTGTGGGCGTGTCATCACTTTCAATTTTGTGGCCAATTTGAGTGACACTTTCTGCCTGTTTGTCACGCCGCTTGCGTAGCCCCAGGCATGGAGGACAGTGGCGTGGTAGGGGCAGCAGGCTAGCTGCCAAGGAAACCTAGAAGAAGCCACTTTGTGTCTGGTCGTTGTCTGCAACGGCGTCTGCCTCGCTTCCGTTTCCTGCGCATAAATTTTAATGGGAAGAGCAGGTTCTTCCCCCAGTCCATTCGCCTCCCTCTTCCTGCCCCTCCAATCAAAACGCTATCAATTAAAGATACCAGAGGAAAGAAAAAACAGCAAAAAACCCTTTGAGAGTCGATTTCAATGTCTCTTACCTTGACTTTCGAGAGGGGCCTACACATGTACAAAGTCACGGCTATGTTGGCCAACCATTAACCAGTTTGGCCGAAAGGAGAAAACAAAAGAAAAGTCGAGGCAACAGCCAAACGGTTGGATGAGGCTTTTACTGGCTTTCCCAACCATGAAATTCGCGAAAAAAACACGCGAGGAGGAATGTGGGGTGAAGCGAAATTGCTCGACAGGGGTTTACCCTATGCGGATTAGTAAGTCTGTGTGTGGGATCAAACAGAGCTTTAATACAATTTTCTTAGACTATTGTGTAAAAGCTTAAATACCGTAGGACAGATTTCCAAAAAGATGCACGTAGAGTGCATGCAAGTGCTACTTTCTTGTGGAGAATTAGAAGTAACCAGGTCAAGAAGTAACTTGCAATAATTGCGAATGGACTGACTTGATTTGACTTCCTTCCTACTCCTGCAACCCAATATACCCGAAGGAAGTCTAGGACTCTCACTAGGGGACTCTCTCTGTGGCGCTGTCTCTCTACGATAATGCTGGCCGGCCAGTGGCCACACACACACACATTGCCTCTTACTGCATTCAGCTGGCAATCGAAACTAGTTTTTCAGGTTCGGCGCACGGCCAGGCCAGCGACCATTCTCGGCTGATAACAACAATTGCATTGCTGTGGCAGCAGCGACGTGGTGGCGCATGCGCACAAGCCTTGCGCATACTTTGGCTTCTTGGGTGCACAGACCTCCTGCTCCGCACCGCCCGTCTTGTGTTCGCTCTTAAGAAACATTTGCGGAATTTTAATTGCGCAAAAAATCGAGAAGCAGACGGCAATTGCAACTGATGCCAGGGAAGGGGGATGGGACATGACGTTGAATGATGGCTTGAAGAGGTTAGGCGGGAGGCGGGAGGCAGGAAGAAGGAGGGGAAGGAGCTGGCCGAGTGAGAAGTGAGAACATATCGCGTGATTGTGATAGATATAATGGCGATGGAGCAGAGCTGGGAGCAGATCATGGGCCCGATAGCATAACCATAACCATAATACGGGGACGTCTGCAATGCCCAACTCTAGCACATTCACCAGCCACGCCTTGGGATCGCTGATTGCGACGAGAACAAGATGATGATGATGATGATGATGAGATGATGATGATGATGATGATAATGATGGGGATGGCAAACAAAAACCAACGGAGCAGAGCAGAACAGCACATTCCAGAGGGATCAGGGGAGAGTATATCTTACACGCTGCTCGAATTATAAGTCGTCGACATTTTGTACTTGCCACAGAGATACGTACATACTCGTACTCCGAGTAGAAGCGCACACAGAAAAATGAGCCAGCATAAATAAACCAAAGCGAAATAGAATAGACATTTGTATCAGTTTTTGTGTCTTCCACTCCCCACGGCCTCCCCCTTTTGGGGTGGTGGTGTAATTGAAGTTGCAGAAAGAAAACCAAAACAGAATAAGAAAAGTATCTTGAGGTCTTCGCGTGGCCAGTGGAGCGCGAGGCATGGCGGCATACGGAAGCCATAAGCTGCAAGAGATTTCTCTTTGGCCCCTGCTCGTGTTTCGGCACTTCTGCTGGCTGTTGAACCCGCCGCACCACTGGAGCGTGATCTGACCTGGCTCTGGATCTGGCTCCCAGGCAGTCATCCAGTCTGCGGACAAATCACTTGCCTTGCCTTGCCCCAAAACGTGCTCAAGGATGCGATCAATAATCAATCGCCATGCGCAAAGAGGAGATGCGAAACGACAACGAAGAGGAAACCGACAAGAAATCGACCAAAATTACAGGAAGCAAAAGCACTTGCCGAAATGACCGAAAATCATTCAATTACGCCCAGAAGCGGACGGGCGACAGCTGGCCCTGCATAAATAATGGGCGGGTCCTTCCCAATAATTACGCAACGAGGCCGGATTAAGCGGAATTCAATAAGGTTAGTCAAAAATGCGTAGATTTATGAGAGGAAGCGAGGGTCCAGCAAGGGCACCGTGAATGAGGTCAACCCTGAAGGTGTTTTATTAGACTTACTCCCTCGCCAGCGACATTTAAACTCAACTTTGGCGGCAAGTTGTGTGCTTGGTCATTTTTCAACACTAGAACGTGGCCAGTGCTGCTAATCAATTGTTGTATGGGCCGCACTTATTTAGAGATGGCGCAAAAATAAAGGCGGAAAAAGGCGTTTTTCACACTGGCGCTTCCACGGTCAAGTATCGCTTTTGAAATTTACATAAAAATGTAGTTAATATGTAGCACTTGTGTAGTTTTCGTGTATTTGTCATGTACAAAAATTAATTATTAAAAATACTTCGGACCTTTTTTGTTTAAACCTTATTTTATAAAAAGTCCATGAAAGAATATAATTTAAAATTAGCCAGTCTTATAGGAAAGTATTTTATCAATAAGGTAAAATTATATATTTGGGACTGAGGGTCCAATTTGCTCAGTATTATTCAGTCGAATACCAAATTCGGGGAATATGGTTTCCAATCCTCGACGGAGAACAATTAACCCATTGTAAGCCAATGGGGTATTTTAATGATCCAACGAATTAATACAAAATTAATAATAATTTTAGCGCAGTTCAGGGGAAAGATATCGTGATCTTTTTTTATCCAAAGATGATGGAAAAGAGTTATTATTATTTGTATGATTATTTGCATTATTTTCGGCGGTTTAACTCAAGTGATTATCCAGTTTAAAGAAAGGGGTTTTAATGGGCTTTTCGAATCGTCGATAACTCCAGTATAAACAAAGAAAGAATTTACTTAAATAAAATTGAGATACGTTCAAGGTTCGGCAAGCCAATGAGTATCAACTTATATATACAAACCCTGAACACGACTCTGCAGACCATCGCAACACAAGTGGAGGTATTCGCTGGCGTTGCCCTGAAAGCAGCCGTCAACGTTCGCAGGGAGCTGGAGAGTCTGACCGAGGACTGGCACTGGCAGAACAGCCTAATCGAGTTTACCGACTTGCAGGCCACGTTGCTGAAGGTATTGCTGGTGCTGTTGGCGGGAACGTGTATCCTGAACGCCGGGTCCTGGTCAGTCTACGGCGAAGTCATCACCGAGAAATTTGTCAGGCCAAGTATGAAAAAAGCAACTAAATTTTGACACATGCCGCTTTAATAGATAATCTTCTTGGCTACGCTTAAGGTACGCTCAAGGAAATCGAAGAGCTTAAATTGTCTGTCGCCAAATTGAAGTTGCCCAAGGAACACTCTCCCCGAATATAGACATGTCGAAGATCAAGAAGTTCTTTTCGAAGAAGAAGGAGGAGGCGGCGGCGTTTAAAGTATGTTCCATCAAGCCCAATAAGAAACCTAACAGAAAATGATTTACTCTCCAGGTTAAACTAATGGGCAGCTCGATGGGCGAAGGCCATAAATTAAACACCCCCAAGCCGGATGCACCTTCTAGCAGCAACTCTCGGGGTCGTAAGTACGAGGCTTATGTCCCACCCAAGCGCAACGAGCTCAGCAATGAGGCCCGTGCCGCAGCGAATGCCGCACTCTCGCGCATCGACAAGAAGACCTCACGGGAGTTCAACACCTCACTGTCGGCAGTCAAGGCTCAGGCCAAGCGAGAACTCGAGGCAGAGCGTCGGCAGAAGGAAGAAGCGTCTGCCAATGTAGAGGTGTCTGCATCCACAGCCAGCACCTTATCCGGCGTTGACAACAGGAACATGGCGTGTGAAGGTGTCTTCTTCCGCTGCCCGATGGTCAGCGATGAGATTCTACCGAAGAAGGATTGGAAGGTGAAGATCAGGGAGTTCCTATACCAGCAGTTGGAGGAAGGAGATCGCGGTCTAACAGCTTGCCTGATCATCCACAATTGCAATGTGAAAGAGAAGGCTGACGACTGCATAGCAACTCTGGTTCGGTATCTGGAGAACCTTATCACGAACCCGACCGATGAAAAGTTCTTGAAAATACGCATGTCGAACAAGATCTTCAGCGAGAAAGTGCGTTACGTGGAGGGTGCATTGGATGTTTTGCATGCTGCTGGTTTTAGTGAGGTCCAAATCGACGATGAGCCATTCCTCCTCTGGACTAGGGAACAGACTGAACAAGATCTGGACTTGCCCACCCTGGTTGATGGTCTGAAAAACTCAGAGTGCATTCCCCTGGAGCTGGACCGCAACTTGAAAGTGCTGTTGCCATCACAGGCACGACGCGTTGTTCTACCCAATGATTTCTATCGCCTCGCCCCAGAGGAGATCAAGAAGGAGCAGCAACTGCGCTCCGAAGCTATCCAACAGGCCCAGATGCTGAGGACGAAGGCCATGCGGGAACGCGAGGAGCAACGCACTTTGCGCATGTACCGCTACGCACTGGTTAGGGTAAAATTTCCCAATGGCCTCGTCATACAAGTGAGTGATTAAGATGCTGATGAAATCGAGTGAACGGCTAATGCAATCTCATGTATCGTTTCCAGGGCACTTTTAATGTGTACGAGAAAATTTCGGATATTTTTGAATTCGTGCAATCTTGCCTGGCGGATGAGTCACTTGAATTTAATCTGGTGGCCACCAGCGAGGGCAAGTTCGGTGAAGAAGACATGGATAAGACCTTATTCGACTGCAAGTGAGTGCTCTTGTTCCATTTTGTCACTTACATGGTGAAATAATTAAAATATACTTGTATTTCAGACTCATTCCTAATTCTCTGCTGTTGTTCTGCCCCGAAACGTCCTCATCCGATGGGAATGCCGGGGACGTCAACTACCTGAAAGAGGAGCTCTTCATGCTGGTTCAGTCCATGTAGAAACATCGTCTTCAATTGATCATTAAGCGGCAGCCTTTGAGTTTTACCCTAACTTATATACTTTATCAAGCTCTTGTTATTTATTGCTTTCAAATTTATTATTCAAAGTCAAATATAGACACACTTTCAAATGAACCGCCCTTGCAAGATTTATTCCAACAGCTGTTTTTGGTATCTTTCGGCTTACCAGTATTTTTTGTGGTATTTTCAGCCGAGTTGCTTACAGTCACACTAAGTGCAAAAATAAACAACAAAATTGCAGCTAACAAATAAAAATTAGCCAAAATCATGGTAAAAATGAGCTTTAACAACAAATTGTGAACAAATAGATAGTGTGTACAAATCAGCTAACCCTTTGGTGCTATGTAAATGTAAGTATTTCTCTCTTTAAAGTCCAATTATAACGAGCAACAAAAAGAGCGGGCCTGGCCATGCTGTCCAATTGTTTTTTTATTACCCGTTTATGAATCTTTAATGATGGCCTAACGAGACGAATTGTTGGGTGGTAGCTGCTGTCAAGCAATAAATAATCTTTAAACAGCCGCAAAAGAGATATTCCGGCTGGCTGCATAGGAATGAATCCCAATCCCTCTATTCACATGAGGCGGTCTCTGGTGTGGTGGATGTTATGATGTGATGAGTGGCAGCAAATATTGTAATTTACAGCTGTGGACATGCACATTATCGAATTATTGGTCCCACATTCCGTGTGTGTCTGTAATTTGTGCTGGATGAACTGCTAATTAGGAACTGCCCATCGCCCCCGTTGATGATGAAGGGCTGTCACAGTCGAGTCGTGCTACTGTTGAGCAAACCAGTTTCCCCTGTACTCGGGATGTGGGTGAGAGTTGCAACTGCAGAGGAAGTTGGGGCAGAGCAGGAGCTGGATCTGCAGTAGTGGCAGCAGGGGCACTGGGCCTCCACAAAACAAACAAACAGTTGAATTTAATGAACCAATTTTGCAGTGTCTATCAGAGCGGCATCAGAAACGGTAATCCACAGAGCAGCCAGGAGGAGATGCAGTAAAAGTAGGACTCGGAGGCGGCCGAAGAGTGCACCATTACTAAGCAACCGCCAAAGACTCCAGGCAATTCGGTGTAAATCTCGCTTGATCTTGGGAAAAAGTAAATAGAAAAGCACCAAAATCAAAACTTAATGAATCTTTGCCCGGACCCAGGCCCAGGGCTTAAATTAAGCCCAGCCATCGCGCCAAATCGAAACTTGACTCGACACGCAGGCAGCCAGTCTAGGAGGGGGCTGGCGGAGGCAGGATAGAGGCCCCAATAGTCAAGCAAAGCCATCGCATAAATTGGCCTGCGCCGAGCCAAAAGATTTCATTGTTGCCCATTGCTTATTATGGCCCGGGATCGGATCTAGGCCTTCATTAAACGGCTGGGGCAGCAACTGTAGCTGTAGCTGTGGATGTGGATGTGGTATGGACTGGGCCTGTGTCTGTGCCTGTGTATGGGTCTGGCTCTTGTCCGGGGAGCGAGTGCGTGAGATATGCATTATTTATCTAGCGAAATTTTTCTCATTGCTTGGGCAACTTGTTGCTGGAGGAGCTGGATCCAACGGCCACTTCCTGGTTGCCTGGCCACAGCTGCATCATAGCTACATCCATCCATGATAGCGAAATTCCCAAAATGATACGAATAGTTTGTTTCTGTCGGGCGATAGAGAAAGGGGGAAATATTTGGGACATCTTTAGCCTTACCCGGGGGCTTGGAGGCTGTAACCTGCAACCTGCAACCTGCACGTGCCTGGCTCCACTCCGCACCACTCCGCTCCGGGCCTGACCTGCTGTGGCCGTGGCCAGGGCCTGCCTGATTGAACGATTGAAAGATCATCACCCGAGAAGCGATCCCGAGAGAGACTGCGAGCAGGATAATGATGATGATGAGGTGCAAATTGCTGCTGCCATGAAATTGCAAATCAACTTTCTGACTCCCGATTGCATTTCATTCTAAATTGTTTACTCAACCCAGCAGCCACATCTCAGGCTCCATCTCTCAGCTTCAGCAGCGTTTGTAAAAATTGCAAATCGAATTTGCCAATTGCTGGGATGCCTCTCTGCTGGCTGATTTGTTTCTGTGGTTGCCACGAACCACAACCACTCACAACAGAAACTCCAACTACAATTTCGAGCACGCCCTTTAACAAGCATTTAGCTTGGGCCGACAAGCTCGTGACCCGCCGCCTCGCTCCCAGCCCCAGTCCCAGTCTCAGTCCCAGCACAAAAGTCAGAGCCAGAGCCACAGCCAGAAAGAACCCTCCCAATCTGCTGGCAAGTTTATGACTGAGCTCGAAATTGAAGTTGAAATCGGTTAGCGGTGGGTTCCCTTTTCCATTTGTTTTTTATCGCTCCACGCAAGCGCCCTGCATTTACATATTTTTGCCTGCATTTGAACTCTGATCTGGTGGCCAGGGGAAGCCGATCCGATCCGATCCGATCCAAACCGAACCATACCTGAACGGGATCCGTAACAGAAACAGAAACAGCCCCAGTACTAGCAGTAGTAGTGGCTGTGGAATCACGAGGCAGCTGTGCACCAAACGGAAATACTTCCCCTGTGACGAAGAAAAGCAAACAACAAGCAACTATAATTAAGGCTTTTTGCTTTAATTAACACTTTTGAACTCGAGCAATGGCTGTTTATAGGAACAGAAAAGGGAAGTGTCTTCTGAAACTCGAAGATGCGATACACTTTCAACAAATACGATGATCTTTTGGGGAGAACACTTCCTGATCGGTTAGGAATAGTGAAAAGAACCAGTAATGGAATGGAAAGAGTGGGGAAACTATTCCCACCATTAAAAGTTATGGTTTTTAGAATGGATCAATCAATAGGCTTCCATCCCCACCGATCTCTTATTCACGTTACCCTTTCCTCAAGTGTATCATAATTTGCAATCCAATAAGAACTTCCGGTCCATTCGGCGAATGTTTTATGAATGAAAATCTTGTCGCATCGAGGACCCGCTCCCGCAACCCGACCTCTGTCCATCGCTGGCGATCGTCACGCTCATGGCCAATTAGTGCAATCAACTGGAAGCAGCGATGGATGGATAGGGTGCCATGGGGTTGGGTTTGCTCAGGCCTCGGCCTAGACAATTGCTATGGAAATCTTACAGAGTTCACAAAACATGATAAGATTAATTGACTGGGTCTCCCTTCGATCAAGGAACTTCCCCTCTTAGATTTGTGAGCTTACAATGGAGGTGGTATATACATACTCGTATATGATATGATATGTAGAAGAACTGAGACTTAAGCAAGTTCTTTAGAATGGGATTTATCAAAGGCAGTAATACGTAAAAGTATATAAAAAAACCTATTTCAACCACGGGAATATTACGTAATAATTGATGCCCGACTCGAGGTTTCGCTGATATGGGTTTAATGTTGTAGTTATTGTTTTTGGAGTGCTCCCAAATTCCAGAAGCCTGCCCACCGCTCGTTTAAAGTGTTCCAGTGAATGCAGTTCAATTATTTCGAAAGCCAAGTTGGGATTTAATAAACTATCCATCTATCTATCGATTGGCTTACCCAACCCCCTAATCGCAACCCTCCCCCCTGTCAGCGGACTCTCCTAAACTCTCCATTTGATATAACAGCGTGCAGTCAATTTCAAATACATTTGCAATTTGTCAAATTTTGGTAGCCGTTGCCAAGATAAATTAATTTCGGCATCGATTTGATCGCTTGTCTCTGGTCATTTTGCATGGACCATGGACCAGCTGCTGGATGGGGGGATTCTCAGAGGGGGGGGAGGTGGAGGAGGAGGAGGAGGAGGAGGAGAGACCATGTTAGCCACAAGCCAACATGGCTTTGCTCATTGTAAATGTGCTTTAATGACCACCGGTCAGCAAATCTCATTTTTTTTCGTCGCTTGGACGCCAAGAGACCGCATGCTGGCTCACACACACACACACTAGCAGTAAGAGAGAGAGAGAGAGAGCTATAGAGCGTTCGAAAGAGAGAGAAAGATAGTCGGGTTTGGCAAACATCTCTTGTACCTGCAAACGTTCATCCCCGCCCCCTGTCCACCTCCCTGGCCAAAATAATGACCAGTGTCCACATGGTGCAAAATTAGACATATTTTCTTCTTACTTGGGGGCATCGCAGCATCCCTCAGCTTACCCCACTCCCGCCCCCCACCCCACCATCACTCTCTGTGTGGCTCCTTCGGTTCACCTTTTGCATTTTCAACACCAAAAAGTTTTACATTCGGATTTTCCGCAACTGCCAAGAAAAATGACATTACAAATTGGGGGACATTTGTCTAATTAAATCCCTGCCTGCTCCAATAACGAGAGCTTAGATTACAATCTCACAGCGGTGCGTAATGGCTTTTGTGCTTGCAGGGGGAGGGATGGTGGGGAAACCGGATGGGAGGTTGCAATTTGTGGGAAATTGATAGAACGACAGAGAGAGCCAGATAGAGATTCCGGGTAAAGGATTGCTCCAGTTTGATGCGTACTATTTCGAGATCCTATTAGTGTAATCCAGTTAGGGATACCAAGGAACCACTTTAAGAAACTTCATGATTTTCATGAATATCTTCCTGAAATGCAGCAAAAGAATAACTAATTGACTACTGAATTGTCATATTTTATTAAAAATAGTTCCAGAATGATTAACCAAAATGATTTCATCAATAATTCCCACTAATTTGGTAACTTTCAGAGATAGTAACCCTTAAAACTAGCGCCATCTGAACACCCTGTGTCCCTTTTTATCCACTATTTCTATAGAGACCCTCAAGTATCCAGCATTTGAGTGGCGCTCAACATAGGGGCAAGCACTGGCTGCATTTGTTGTACATAAAACGCTGGCCACTGACCAATTAGAGGAGCAACCGAGTCCAGCCAACGGAGGCGAGTGACCACCAGCTGCAACAACAAACGGGGACACAAGCAACAGTGGACCTGCATGTAATAGAATTAAACTAAAATCAAATAATCATCAGACGGCTTTCACTCAATCCCCACTCGAGACTCGACTCGGACTGCTTCGCACTTGCACTCCACTCAAGTGGGGTTGACTCGACTCCTCCACTCAATTGATAAGAACACGTGTTGCTTCATTCGCCATCTCGGTCGCACCGCCTGGTGCTGGGGCCCTGCGGGGCCCCAAGGAGTTGCCAGAGAATGCGGGCCCAAAACAAACTCAAAAGAGCCGAAGCCGAAGCCAAAGCGAAAAACACGATGTGGCAACCACGACACGAGACCACATCGTCGTCGTCGCATCGCTGCAGCGTCGCAACGGGGTCCAATTAGGTGGCCGGCAGCAAATCATGCGCTCTCTGTCTCGCCTCAACAGGCTGTCCTAAGGCCCTGGCGCTGGCGCTGCTCTCCTCTGTTTCGCCTCTGACGACGCCCGTCCACTCGAGTCTTCGACTTCGACTTGGACTCGGGCTCAGACCCCATCTCAGTCTCAGTCTCATTCTCAAGTCCGGTTTTTCAGGGGAACGACGTACAGCGCGTACCGCTTCGCGCTATTTTCAGTGCAGTTTTTGGTGTGTGTTCCCCTTTAGAAAAATATATCTCGAGAGTGTATTTATGAGAAAACTACAATAAAACACGCACGACAACAAAAAAAGGAGAAATTATATTACACAAAAATAATTCCACTCTAAAAACAAAAGCCAAAAGTAGCCGACGGCCAAGTGAATATTGTGTGGGAATATTAACAATTTGAGAAATAAATATCAACGCAAGATCCGAATTCCAAGTGCAGTGAACGATTACGATTCAGTGTAAGTTCTTTAAAAGATAACACACTCTCCCCATAGAACACCATCCCCCAGATATGGCACAGACCCCTTCCTCCCAATATAGCAACTAAAACGAAAGTGAGTTGAGAGTCTATTGCCGTCCTTGTTCTTGTCCATTCTATGATCTGATTTCGAAAACACTCTGCTCTGTAGCGCGTCTAAAAAGTCATCCTCCTTATCGCACGGAGGAATGCTCGGGGATCGTTAAAATTTATGTGCTGCTTGAGGAACCGAACAGAACTGATCTGAACAGAACTGAACAGATCCGAGCAGCGCGGCGAACTGATAAGAAAATGATTATTCTTTAGAAATATGTACATATCAGAAATCTATATTCTATATTCTGCTGAATACCCATTCAGCAGGGGAGGCAGCAATCGCTGGCTGCACCCGGCCGGGGGCTTTCCCATCTTATCTGCGGCGATTTTCTTTCCCGATTTTCTTGCCCAAGTGCCTCGAAATTAATAACTTTAGTCGAAAGAGTTGGCAGAAAGCACAGAGAGCGTTGGCACAGCGAAATCATGTTCGAGTGATTAAATTAATTAATGATATAGACACTGCGCAATAGTGTCCACGCAACCGAAGGCCGCAGAAGGAGGATCCGCCGTCTGCCGTCTGCCGCCTGCCGCCTGCAGTCTGTGGGTCCTGCAGCGAGCAACGCCACATGATGCGGATCGTTGGATCGTTGGATCGGTGGATCGGTGGATCGGTCGATGGTTCTGCAGAGGCGAGCAGATCGTTGTCTTAACTTGTCGTACACGATGTCTTATACGTGTAGCAACAATTTATTTCTTTGGTCAATGCATCGATCCCAACGAATCGAAGATCATGGCAGCGCTTGGGTCTGTGCTGGTCTGGGTCTCGGGCTCTTTTACTATCCTTGGCGATCAATCAAGCCCTGCTGGAAGATGATCAATATTAGCCGGTCTAAAAATAATATGAGCCCTCGACTATCTTTATCGTTGATTGAGAATCGCTGGAAGGAGGGAGGATTCGATTGCTTGTGGCAGATGAAATTTTAAATTTATAAAACTGATAATAGCGAACTTTATTCGCCTTTGTTTTGGTTTTTTCGTACAAATGAAATGTATATAATCATGTATAGTATATCAAAACTGATAATTCCCGTGTGCATATATGTATACAGTCGCAGTATGAGTCAGTTCTGTCAGATCTGTTGGGTTTCTGTAGAGTCCGGGGCTGTCTGAACATCGCATTCGGCTTGGCTTTTTGGTCGGTTAGGATTTTACGACTTGTGTAATTAGTTTTTCTTTCGAAGATCTTTTATGGCGCTTACAGACCAGACGTCTATCTCTTGCCACATCCAACTCTCTCTCTTTGCACCATTTTACATCCCAAAAACAAGAAGATGTCATTAAAAATTAGAGTAACTGTTTTTTCCCCCACTAATATGTGTGTCCAAAGTGCTAATTGAAGGCAACTCCGGCTCTGACTCCGGCTCTCACAGCAGCCAGCCAGAGCGGCGGCTGAGGCTGGGACTCAAGCTGCCTCTTCATCCAAGTCAAGGGTTAAAGTTCTCTTAGTTTTGTGTGTGATTTTGTTAATAGTCAGGCAAAAGATGGAGATGGAGATACAGATGGATCCACAGTTGGGGCTGTGGCTGCTGCTGTGGCTGGCTCTGACTGACGACAAGTGCCTACACCTCTTTCGAGTAAACTGTCAAAGTGTAGACTCTGTTGCCCAACCATGTTTACAGCCGTCGATGCTGAATTAATTAAACTAACTCTGGGAGGCACTGCACTGGCTCTGTTTTAGAGGGTTATAGGGGGCCCCCACTGACTGACAGACAGCTGCTGTGGGGAGGGGGAGTGCACCTCAATTTGTACGTGTACTCTTTGAAATTGGTCAGTGTAACCTGAGGACAATGACTTGGACCGACCGGCCAGCACTGGCCCTGTCTTTGGCCCTGGCCTCTCTCGTCAGTTGTCCCTATGCACAAGCACAAGAAAAGGACATAATTGCTGCCATAGATTCTCGGGAGGAGTTGAAAGGTTGCAGCCACAGAAAAGACCTTCGCAGAGGACTTGAGCCACAGGGGAATCCTACGAGGGAGAAGCCACACACAGTGGAGTTGTGTGTGCAGTCGCTTGGAAATGCCGTGTTCACTAATCTATTTCAATTTCATAGCCATCTCATTTGCCCAGCATTTTAATTTCCTCCTGCAGCTCCGCTCCTCCGTTGGTAGGGGAGGTCAGAGATGTTCTAAAGCTTCCGAGCGCTCCCCTCCCCATCCCCAACCCCAAGCACATTGTGGTTCTGTCTATTGATTGGAATATTCATTGAATAGTTTTTAAGCTGATTTATATGCTATTGTGGCAGCTTGTGTGTGTGGCTGCTGTCGATTTAATAAATATTTAATTTCAACTCTGCCTGTCTGACTCCTGGTGCTGCCACTCCTGCTCCTGCTCCTGCTCCTGCTGCTGCTCCTGCCCCCGGTTGGCTCTTAAATCCACACATAAAAGATTCAATCAACGGAAAGGGGACTCTGAGGAGTCCAAGGAGCAGCCGGTGCCAGCTGGATGATGATGTTGCTGGTGGCTTCATTCAGGTATTAATAATAATAACGAACAACGAATGGATTATTCTGAGCTGCTGAGACATCGTAATTTGCAAAATGTGCAATCGCTTCCTATAAATCTTCCTTCCTAAAGGCAGAGACACACACACAGAGAGAGAGAGAGAGAGAGGGAGAGAGCTCTCTGCGGAAATCTATTCAGATCCCATCAGAGAGAAGGGGGGAGCGAACCTCCGAGCCCGAGCGATGAATGCCAAACTATATATATATATATTTCACCTGGCCGAATCATAAAAGTTCTTTTGTCAGACTCCATCGCCTTGTGCACCCAATAGCAAGCCAAAGAGAGCTGCAGCGACGTCAACTGCTATCAATCTCAGGTGAAATGGAGCTGCGTCCGTCCGCCAGCCATTAGATGATCCCAAACCCAGTCACAGCATACCCTGTGCTCCAGCCAAGCCAAGCCAGCCTAGCCAGCCAGCCAGCCAGCCAGCCAGCCATGCCATGCCATCCAATCCCAGCCAGTTCCAGGCCCGCCGCTCAAAGGAAAGCGCCCGTCGCAATAGATCGCACATTGCAGATAGAGGCGTGCCTGCCACTCCAACTCCACAGCATCGCGGAGGGATTAGTCCATAGCGAAGGATAAATACTCTATGGAAAACTATATGCTGGCTATTCGAAGTAGAGTATTCCATTGCTAAATGGTTCCTAGTACCGAATACTTGATCATACATTAATCTTCAAGATGTGAGAACTCTGATCATAGTAGCTGCTAGCACAGATTGAAGAGGAGACAGTTTCAGGTGCTCGAATCTTCTTGAAAATGGAGACCTCAGGCTCTCCACAACTCCCATTCTACCCCACCCATTGTAGGGTATACAAAAGGCAAAGCCAAACAATGCGCTGCAATTTCTGGCCACAAAGGATGAACGCAGCGCGTATGCGGAGCAGTGTGGAGTCGGATCGGAGCCGGGCTCCGAGCAGAGTCGGGGACAGAGGCTGCGGCTGGAGCTGGAGCTGGAGTCGCACATTCGGCGAGCGCCTTCAGCAGTTGTTATAAATTATAGTGCCGCATGCGGAATGAATGCCCAAGATCAAACCGGTGGGCACACACGCGCACGCGGGCGGGTGGAAGGCGGCGGTGGGGGTGGGGAGCAGGGCCGATTGGGCGGCTGGGCGGCTATAAAAACAAACCTCCGCCCCCGCACGTAGCCAGTTCTGGCTGTGGCTCGTTGCCTGTTGCGCGGTGCCAGTGCCACAAAATATTTAACAGTGTACCGCTATAAAATTTGGTATTCCGAGACGGGACCAAGATGCCGCCACCACCACCAGCACAGCCGCTGCCTTGCTCCGGCGTTGCAGTGGTGCAGCGGTGCAGCGATGCAGTGGTTATACTGCCATTACCATTACCACGTTGTAGGCATGTTGTAAATGCCAGCCGATTGCTGTGGACTTTTGTCGTTTCAGGCTGTTGTTTGTGGCAGTTGCTCTGTTTGTGTTTGTGTGTGTCTTTTGGCCATAAAAACAGAAATGAGCCCACAGAAAACATGGCGAATTGCGCTAGCTGAAAGAGTCCACTGTCGGCGCATCAGACACCCGACCACAGTGGATAATTTTTTGGCTCTAACTCTCAAGAAATTAGGTTTAGGGAATATTTGAATCATACACAATATTTTAGTAAGATCGGTCGTCAGTGAAAAGGAAGGTCCTTATGATTTGTTAAAAACTCTATAAGTTATATATAAATTCATTGTAGAAAAGAGTTACTGTGGCATGGAGAATAATTGAAGAGCAAGAAATTACAAGCCTCCTTGAAATTTCCACTTAAGCACTTTCATTATGTTACTGATTCAAGAGACTTTTGAGAGTTTTCCTTTCAAGAATTACCTTGAAATCGTTGTACAGCAACTATTTAAATTCTTGTATTATTTTATATTAGCCTTAAATTTAATAAATAAATTAAATAAATTCTTTTATGGCTTGTTCTTGTTACCCACTGCTTCTATTATTCCGATATATTCTTCGATAAGCGACTCAAAAAGATGCAAAAACAAATTACATGTCGCTTGCGTGACTATAGTCTCGCCACTAGGGTGTAGTTGTTTATTGGACTACTATCAAATTAAAAAAGCGATCCCACCACTGAATTAGATTGTACCAGTGTCATGCCTCCACCGATGCTGATTCAGCGTAAAAATCTAATTTCGATTCCGATATATTCCGGCTCTATATAATATCGGCTGATTCAGCTCGTATAAGTAAAAAAATGATATATGTATCAAAAGTCTCAGCGCACTTTTCACAGAAATCAACATTGGATTAAGGGTTAATTTCGCAGCTCGACTAGTGGGCTCGTAAAAGTCAAACAAGTTTAACGCAGAGTAGCTCAGACTTTGGCTTTTCGCAAATGCAATGCCCCGCCGACTGCGAGTTTATTTGATGAGCGAGAGGCGCAACTGCGGGCCGACACAGCCCACGCGGTGCCGGAGGAGAGGACAAACAAAGTGCCGCAGTTGTCAAGCTTCAGAGGCGGAGGCAGAGCCAGAGGCAGAGGCAGAGGCACCGTAAACAGAAACAACTACTCGTACTACAGAAAGATACCCGTCTCCGTCTCCGACTCTGACTTTGGCTCTGGCTCTGGCTCTGTGCTATGCTAATTACTGGACATGACGGCAGCGCAACGCTTTTGGAATCCCATCCCATCCATGTGAACAAAAGGCGCAAACGTTTACGCACACTCGCAGTCGAAGTTTCAGTCACAGTCGCAGTCCGGACTCGCATTTGCATTTGCATAAGCAGCCATAAAAACAAAACAAAAATAGGGGAAAACGAACAGTCAGAGGAACAGTCGGAGGCAGAGTCGGAGGCAACTTAGCAGATACTACACGACAGCAACAGCCGATCCGGGGACTCTGCTATGGGACCTACGACTCAGTGAGAATTCCCCTTTCTTGGTGTCTGAGCTGTGTCTCTTTGGTGTGAAGAGAAATTTCCTTTTTGGCGGGATCTGTGAATTATTTCAATGTGAAACTCAAGGATCATTAAATGGTTAATATGCATGTCCTGGCTGTTGTAATAGCTAACCCCGTGATATGGGAACTACCCAGATCGTAGATCTTATTCAATACAAGTATGTAGAGATGAAGTCATTGTCAGTGGGGAACGCTTCTTTTTCTCTTAGAATCTCTTGATATATCAAAGGATTGTTTGCTGTGTAGTTCTTCCTCTACGATCATTATTCTCCTCAAAGTTCTTTACCGTTTCCACCATCTGACACTCCGTCAAATGATTGACAGCAAAGTAGTTCAAGTTATTTCTCTGGATTTCTAATTGAATAAGGCGATGACAGTACGTGTATAATGAACCCCACTATATGCGGCCGCCAGCATCATTAATCATTAACTGGATGAAATGGAATTATGCGAAGAACAGGAGAGAAGCGGAGAAGTGGAAGCAGAATGGAATTGCTGATTTGAAAACACCGAACCGCAGGGAGCACGACGAGCCGAGCAGCAATTCTAATTAGAGCTATTCAACAGATCTCCAACTTCAGACTCGGTCTTTGGTCATCTGTGGTCTCTGGACCATATACGAGTATGCCATCTACCGCTGGATGGAGACTGGTCTAGACCCAGAAAAAAGTAATACAACACGACAAACATGGCCGTAAAAATGTCAACTTCCATTCGGTTTGTTTCTTCTGGCTGATTTTGGCATCCCAAAACGTTGTAACCGCCAGAGAGGAACACGAATCCGACTGGGGATCGGGGACAGGGGACCAGGGTCTGGAGATCCCATCCCTCTCTCGCGATGTAAACTTTCGTTTTTTGCTTTTTGTGACCATTTTTGGGGAGGTGAGGCCCGTAAGAGGGGTGATGTGATGGAGCGCTGAAGGTAGCCCACAGACTCACGATATTTGCGTGCCAGAGCGAAATTGTGTGGAAGTCAATTGGCAGTCACGTTCAGTGGCCCTGGACCTGGTCCACAGCCAAACTTCCTCTCCATTCGGGCCAAATTAAATTGTCAGTACAGGCAAGAGAAGCCATTGGCAATGGCAATGGCTGTGGCTGTGGCTGTATCTGTGGCTGAAGGAACAACTAGCCTCATAGAGTTATCTTTCGATTAACAAACGATTGAAATTAATTTTCCAATATTTCCGCATCCCCCGTCGGCCATGAAATGTGTGGAAAACAATGACAACTGCAACAACTGCCACAATTGGAGTCACAACCACAGCAGCAGCAGCAGCCACAACCACTGACAGCAACAACAGCAACTGGAGGAGGACCAAACGAAAATCACGAACCCGGAAGAGGGCTTTAACGTCGGAGGAGGCTTCAGTTATACCCAGATCCAACTGTCTCCCGCTCCCTGCACCTCTTCTGTGTCACATGTTGCTGTTGCTGTTGCTTGCTGCTTGTTGCTGTTGCCGTTTGCCGTAGCTTTACTGCCTGCAATTTCTTCATTTCGGCCGCCCACCGAAGCCGAAATTTCTGTTGAAGATCAACCCAGAACCGGTCGTCATTGTTGCTGTTATCATACCCTTTTAGAGGGCATTTTATCTCTGGCCAGAAGCTTCGCCCGAAACCTTTTAGATCTGGATTACTCTAACGATCCATCGAAGCGAAATAGCGATTCTGTAAATGTAAAATCAACTCATATTTAAACGAAAGAAGAAAGAAATCCACTGTAAGCTTCTTGATCCGTTTATTGTATCATTGCCTTCCGCAATCCTTTTAAGATATACCAAAATATCCCATGGAAAGAGCATCCAATGCTTTGGATTGCGAGATCTTGGCTTCATTTCTTGTTTTCGTGCTGAAATTTGTTCGCGCTTGTTGACAATTGTGTCGTGTAAGGGCTGCCCTCGACCGGCCGACGACCGACTGCCAAAAGAATTTGAAATGTGCAGCAAGCGTGTTGCAGCCAGAAATGGACAGCAACCGCAACGAAGAGACAAAGACCTGGACATGGACACTTTAGAGCCGGGCCAACGGCAGCCAAACGATGGACTCCAGGGTGTAAATTACATTACAAGGAGAGCCGAGAAGCCGAGAAGCCGAGACGAGTTTCTTTGACTGGTAGTGTCTCTCTGCCCGTTCAAAGTGGAAGCTGCAGCAGCCAGTTGCACTCGTCAAAATTGCCATCAATCATTCTGCCGCAGCCGCTGCCGCTGCCGCTGTTTCTGGCCCCAAGAATGCCGGACAAGTAGAAAAATGGAACCTGTTTGGCCAGGCACTGGCTATCAGTGTTAAATCTACAAGATCATTTTCCCTACAAACCCATAATTTGTGATTGTTACACGGCCTGTAGCGAACCGAACCAAACCGTAACGAGGTCCGAGAGCCAGTCGTTCTCTTAATAGACTCGTCGCCAGCCTAATGAATTGAAACGTTTCTGATGGCCTTGTTGGCCACGTCTACGTCCACGTCCACGTCCACGTCCACGTCGCAGGCTGCCATCGATCACATCACTGTGGGGACTGCACTTTGGTTCTGTTCTGGTTCCCCCCAGCAATACATATATTCTCTTCGCTGACGAACCACGAGAGTAGTACCTCCATCAGTCCATCAGGTTTTTGGGCCTATCAATTGGAGAGAATCTCGCACGATGTGACTGAATGACTGACTGGCAGGACCGCCCGTAAAGCCAGAGTCAGCGAATAGTTTTAGGTCTTTTGATTAGTAATCAGTAGGGAAACTCGGTCATCCGCAGTCTCACCTATATAGTACAGGGATCTCCTTTGAGATCTTCTGGCTCCACAAACCATTTCCATTCTCGTTCGTTCTCCTTTGGCTTCGCTTAGTAGAGAGCTCTGTTGCTGGGGCTGTTGTGTCTGTGCCTTTGCCTGTGCCTGTGCCTGCGCCTATCGCCAACTGTCATCATTTTCAAATTATTTCTCGTTGAATATCTAATCAAGATTCATGCATGATCGCGGCTAAATTGCTTCCAGGCAAGACCAAGACACATAGACGGCCACAGCATAACAATTGCCGGTGGACGGTAACGGGGACCCTGAACCTGGTCCTGGTTTGGTTTTGTTTTTGGTTTTAGTTTTGGTTGTGGTCCAGGTCTAGGGTCTAGGCAATCCAACATCCACCAGGGAACGGGCACAACATTTGCACAGAGGAGGCTGCTCGCTTCTCCAGCCTTTTGCTGTTTGATTTTTCCTTTTTCCACCAACTTTTCCATTGTTTTCCGCCCCGAGCAGGTTAATAGTGTTGTTTTCTGGCTGCGGATTTCAAAAGGCTTTTATTTTGTATTTTTTTTTTGGGTAGGAAGACAGCAACGAATTCTGCATCAGAAATTAGCTACGACAATTGTTCGAGACAACTTTTCGCCCATGTAATCGCTTATGTCTCTCGGCTGTGCATTTGTTGATTCAGTGATACTCGTACCCGTTCTCGTACTCGTACTCGTATATGGGCATACTCGTACTTGAACTTTAGCTTTGTCTTTATTTTACTTAATTGAAACTAGCCAGACCCTGTAGACTCTGTAGGTAAATAATTCAATTACACACGAGGCTCTGACTCAGATCGAAGCCCCCGCCATTCCGTGCCCCATTCTCCATGCCCAAGGAGAATGCAGTTGCAGTGAGGCGCGTAGCCACAGGGTGCCTCTGGGCTCGTTTAAGTATTATTAAATTATATGAAATTCGTTGTTCATTTGGTGGTTAATTCGCTGTCGCTGTCGTTGCCACTTAATTGTTATTAACTTTCGTGTGACATCTGTGACTTCTCCCAACGCCGCTCCACAAAGTGTTTGCCTCAATTGACGCCCATGTGGGGTGGTGTCGTATCACTCGTAAATTGATGACCCAAAATGGCCTTCTAATTGTTTTATTAGATTTCCACAGGCCACGAGCCAGCAGCATCAAGTCGCTGTTTTGTTCTTGCCGGAATGAATCCCTTTTTGGGGCAACGCCTCTGCCCTGGCCAGAGAACCACTTTCAGGGAGTCCATTGTTGCACGCACCAGCACGGCCGAAAGGGAGGAAATCGAATCAGCAGATATACAAACACTCAGCCGCAGGGCCCCAGACTTTTGACATTTTTATTTGTGTGCCAAAGAACTTGTAAAATTTACGAGCCAACGAAGGGCGACGAGGTGTGATCGAGGAAGGATTGGTGGAGGAGCACCACAGTAACCATATTTTTTAGCACCGCCGCATGAAATTATTATCAAACATGCAAATCTTCTCCTCCTGCTCGGTGCTCTTGCTCTGTGTGGTTGCGGGCATCGTAAATTGATTTTTATGCTGCTTCTGTTGTAGTCCGAGATGGTCAGAGCCTTTTCCTTTGCCTCTGCGTCTGCCCCTGCCCCTGCCCATCCCTAGTAGTAGTAGGAGTCCATTCTTCCGTTGGGTTCTCAGTCAAAATATTCTGTTTCACATCATTCCATTCTACATTTTGTTCTGTCTGCCGTTGCAGTCGCCTGCTACTTGTCTTGTTGAAGACAAACGCCGCCAAGTAATTGAAATTGAAGACCGACCAAAGCTCGGGAGGAACAGGAGAGAGTGAGAGAGAGAGAGAGATAGAGACAGCGGAGCCAGGATGGTCCTAGTGCTGAATGGCGTGCTGCAGGATGATTGCCCGATGGACACCAACAGCCTGTTCCTGCAGCATCCCGTCTACCGAGATTATGCCCAGCAGTTGCACTCGATACAGGCCAAGTCCGTGGGTCCCGTGGGTCTGCTCTATGTCGGGCAGCGGGAGCTAGCCGCCTCTGCCCCGCACGACAAGAACGTCAACATCATTGGCGCCGACGATGCCACAACCTGTATTATTGTTGTCGTGAGGCACTCGGGTATGTTGCACCCATAAATTGGCTTCGTTTGCCTCGTTAACCCTGCTTACCTTCGCATCTGCCCTAACGCATCTCATTCCATTGCAGGATCTGGGGCCGTGGCTTTGGCCCACTTTGATGGAAGCGGTGTGGACGAGGCTGTCTGCACCATGGTCTCCCGGGTGCAGGAGCTGGCCCTTGGCTATCCCGAAGGACGCATCGAGTTGCAGCTGATTGGTGGCTATCGGGACTCGAAGGGTTACGGCGAGGATGTCTTCTATAGCATTATGCGTGAGTGGCAGTGGCAGCAGCAGCAGGTGGCAGGCTCTAAATGCAATCTTCTTCCAGAATCATTCCACAATCATCACCTCGAGATCGATTTGACGCAGGCCTGCGTGGGCGAGCTGAATACCATGCTGCGTGGCGAGATCAATTGCCCCATCATTTATGGCGTGGGCGTGAACATCAAGACTGGTGAGATCTTTCCGGCCAGCTTCCCAGACCGAGGCCCCGACCGGGAGCTGCGCGATGCTCGCATCTTCATGGGTGCGCAGTCGGTAAGCGATTCGAATCGGAATACAAAATCGCCACGGAGTTGTCACCTGACCAACACTACAACTACTCTCCTCCACTGGCATTTCAGGTTCTGGATGTGTACGACTCCACGCTGGGAATGCTGCGCATCGGCCCCTTCAACTATGATCCGCTGCGCGGCGCCGACTTGTGGCTATCCCAGACGGATGAGTTTCTGCTGCAGCATTTGTCCTCCAGCCCCGATGTGGAGCCGCCACACTTTGCGCCCCAGGTGCGTGCTTGCGTGTGTTGCCCCCCGCAGGGAGTGAGGCGATCTAATTGCTTTACTCATTTCATTTCAGACGCGTGCCACCATCAAATTCATACAGGAGAACCAGTTTCCCGCTGTCACCGTCTTCAGGGACAATCGACCGCGCTACTTTCGGCGCGACGATGCCACGGGGTGCTGGGCTCTGGTTAGATATTAAAGCTTAATTTAGTGTTTAGTTGTTACGCAAGTAGTTGAAAGAAACGTCATGGACAGTTGCCAATGGCAGATGTCAATGTTGGTGCATGTGTTAATCGTCGTTACCATTTGCAGTGCCACCCCACACCCCTGCTACCCTTCGCATATAATTTCCACTTGATTGTGGTTCTGCTCTACTCCCGCTTACTTTTGTTTGAATTTAATCGTTGAGTTAATTGTATTTGGCTGTAATTATAATCGATACTGATAATCCATGCAGCACAGCACCCAATTATTTATAACTCAATTAGATTAGCAATTGCGATGAGTGCCGACATTGCTTGTTGTATGTATCTCAAATAATCTCTCTCTTCAATTAGATTCAAGAGTGAGTTCGGATGTGAGGACCCTTTGGGACGCGCCTTAGTAATGGATCTGAACGTAAAAACGAAAAATGATAATATAATTTGTGTATATGCTGCATAGTACTATATGCATGTGACCACAATTAACAAATCTTATTAATATTTAAAAGAGATTCTTAGCAAAATATATACAAACTACACATACACAAAAAATGTAAACGAAACAATTTCAAATGCAATCATTTTTAGTTGTAACTGTAAACTGTAATCAAACGTGTAAGAAATATAGAAATGGCTTGGCTATAAATACATACATATACCACGAAAGTAAATAATTGGTTTTCATTGAACAAATTGGAATTAATGCAGGATTCATTTTGTGACTTGCTTGAATATGAATTTAAACTGCCAGTTGGTATTGTCGCGAAAAGTGGATGGTCACACTGACTGCTGACAAGTAGTATTTTTTCTTGGGAATTGAGTGCTGTGGCAAAAGGGTGACCGTTTACAGTATTTTTTAGGTGAAAATTCTACAGGCGGTATATTTACGGTATATCGGTATATAATGGTATATTTTGTAAATTTCATCAATCTATTAAATTTAATTTTCAACGGTATTTAGAAATCCAATAAAAGCAAGTGTTTAGAATAGATCAGTCAAGTGGAAAATAGATTCATTAATTGTATAAAATTATGTGCGCATAGCTGGGCGCTTTTTCTAGCTAGTAATATTCGACGGAATATCAAAAACGAGGAATATGTAAAATAGAAGTCAGTATATTTGCGGTATATTTTCTAAATGAGACGGTATATTTTGGTATATTTCTGAGGGTCGGACGGTATATTTTAAATCCGCGGTCATGTGGCAACCCTGTCGGTCGTCGTTGTCAAGTGGAAAAGTTGGTTGATAATTTCTTTTTGATTTAATATTTCGCGTTGATTAATTGCTTTTTTCTAATGATATAACTACAACGAATCACACTAAACATAGTTTGCGCTTGCAGAGCAGGCATTTTACGAGGACTAAAAGAAATTCAAAAGACTGAAACCATTCAATCGCTGCACCTGTACACAGACGTGAACGGGTGTGCATCGCGATTTCTAATCACTCGCAAGAGACTTTCTTCCACACTAAGCAGCCAGAAGAGCGCCAGCGCCCGCGAACCGCAAAGCAACAGTAACCGCAGCCATACATATACGGAAAACTGTTAAACCCTAAACGCCGTCCAATTAAATAACCAGAGCAGCAGACTTGCTATATTAACTTCCAAAGAGAGAGAAGTGGGGAGGAGAGGTACCTCTGGCCACCTGGCTGGCGGTCGGCATAGGGCAGGGCGTTATTTCATAGTTTCGCTTTGGACAACGACGACGACAAGACGTAAGTTAATTGTTAACAACAGTTTCTTTTTTTTGCATATATTTGCCGAAAAATTGGCGACTCACACACGCACAGCTGAACACACAGTTAGGTTTTAGAGCTGCCAAGCCGTGCCAAATTTGACATAACGGTGCATTCCCTTCATGTTTTCTATAAAAGCATACTTTTTGCAAAATTGTGACTGTGTGCAAACACACACAGATTTTAAAAAATTGTTTAACTCAGCTGCATTTCTTGAAACTATATTTTCCAGCGAACAAAACCAACAGAAGCCACAATGAACGGGCAGCCACATTTTGGCGGAGGTAGCAGCTCGATATTGAACCTGCACATTACGCATCTCGATCACGTTGGCCCCTATCTGAAGGTCTATGGCCAGATCAATCGCGATGCTGCATTATTGATTACCAAACGCATTGAGAATGTGCTGCCCACATGCTTTGCCATCGAGCCCACATGGTCCATCGAGCGGGTGCAGGCCCTGCTCACCCCCGGCACAGTGTCCGTGTTGAAGCAGACAAACGGGGCAGCTCCCGGGGACACGGAGTACATGCGAGTGCGTGTGTTGAGCGCCACTCCGGATGGAAACAAGCGTATGCACGTCGAGATAGAGTATCTCGATTACGGTTTCAGACGTACTGTGAGCAGCCACGACGTGAGTACCACCGATCGACCAGAACCTCTCCGAGTATCAGCAGAATATCTAACGTGTGTTCTTTCTTTTCCAGTTAATGTTCCTTAAGCAGCCGAAGCTTCTTCTGAACATCCCCATTCTCTGCTCACAGTACATTGTGCTCGGTATTTGCGCCGAATGGGACAGGAGTGACCTGGAAACTGTGCATCAATTGATTGTAAACCAGACCGTGCAGCTTACCATCGATCCCACCCAGATCTGTGGCCAGTCCTTTGCCAGTGTGCGCTGGAAGGACTTCGATTTGACTGAGTTTCTGGTGCAACAGAAACAAATTGGAGCTCCGGTGGCCACTCAACTGATGCTCGATCACTGCAAAAAGCTGTGGAGGGATGCTCCACAGTCGCCAGTTACGGAGTACAACAACAACAACATAATAAGTTCGAGCAGTGCCTTTAAAACTCCCACGGATGTGGCACGTGAGCAGCTGGCTGCTCGGCGTTCCCTGTCCGCTCGCTTAGAGATGCAACGCGTCGTTTCCGCGACCCCCTTGAGTGTGCTGAATCCAGCCGCCGCTGACTACTCTCCCAAGCAGCAGCAACCTTTAGCAAATTTGGTAACGACTTAAAGATTATTCCCCCAATCTCCGATCTGAATATGTTCACGACCTTTGCAGACAAATGTGATGGCGCCGCTTGGCCAGATGCCACCTCAATCCCTGGCCAATACTCAAAAGCCCAACTATGAGGCGACCCATTCCTTTAACGATTCTTATGTGCCCAAAGTCGACGCCAAACAGCAGGTCTATAATTACTATAATGTTCGTATGAACAAGCCGGCGCCCAAGGCCGTGATGCTGCAGCCGTTTATGCAGGCACAAAACCCGACAGGCAGCTACGCCCCGATGGCTTATGCACCGGCACGCTTCACACCACCACCGCCACAGGCGAGCGTACAGCGGCCATCAGCACAGCAGCGCACCATTCCGGCCTTCAGGACCACCAGCCTGACACTGGGCCTGACCTACGATGTGCACGTAAGCTATGTGGAGAACGGACCGCATCTGTTCTGGGTGCAGCTGAAGAGCACCGCCAAAGAGCTGGATGCCATGATGGAGCAGATTGAGAGGATGCGCCTGCAGCCGCTACCCCAATCACCTGAGGTGGGCTCTGCCTGCGTGGCACGCTTCTCTCAGGATGGCAATTTCTATCGTGCCTTGGTCAGCTCCATCAAGGAGCAGCGCTTCCGGGTTGTCTACGTGGACTACGGAAACTCGGAAGTGCTGCCATCGAAAGATGTCTACCAAATACCCACGGAGCTGCTGCAGATCAAGCCATTTGCCTACCGCTTCGCCCTGGCCGGAATCAAGGAGATCGAACCCATTGACGAGAGCATGAAGCAGATCTTCAAGAACTCGGCTCTGTATAAGGACTTCCAATTGACGGTGCAGCAGCCTGAGAGTGTGGGTTCGATGCAGACCTGTCATCTCTTAGACAGCTTTAGAGTGAGTCGGAACGAATGAGTGTGCCATTTCAATGAACCACAACTAACGTTAAGGAGTTTCTCCATTTCAGGGCAGGAATATACTGGCAGAGCTGAAGCAGCAGAAGAGCTCGCTTCAGGAATACGAAAAGGCGGACCATCTGGTAAACGACGACGAGGTGGAAATCCGCTATATTGACTCGCCCAGCAACTTCTACGTGCAGAAGGTGGCCAACATCGCGCAGTTTCAAGTGCTGATGGATAATATGTTCACGTACTACAACATCAACCAGAAGGTACCCGACAAACTCACCCTGGGTGCCCCCTGCATCGTCAAATGCGATCAGGAGTGGTATCGTGCAGAGATCCTGCGTGTCGATGACTCTGTAATTGTGCGGCACGTGGACTTCGGCTACGAGCAGACGGTGAAGCGCCATCTGATCGGGCACATTGCCAAGGAGCATCTGAAGATGCCCCGCCAGGCTATCAAGTGCTGCCTGAAGGGCTTCGAGCAAAGCGAGCTGGGCCAGGATAAAATCACCGACCAGTTCGAAATGCTGGCCGAAGAGTCGAACATCCGACGTCGCACCTTCAATGTGCGCGTCTTTCGCATCGAGCCAGACGGCCTGAATGTTGTAAATCTTCTCGCCAAGAACTTGAACGTCATGAAGAAGCTGTACAAGCTGTCCATGCCCTTTGACAAGTACCTATCGCTGGAGAAGGGTCAATTCAATGGCAATACCACGCGGGCCGAGTCTGTGGTCTCCTCCGAATTGGACAAGGACCTAATTCTCAACTCCACCAGTATCGTGGAGAGCGAGGAACGCCAACAGCATCAGCAGCAGAAACAGCCATTGCCACAACTACTGCAGCAGCAGCAGCAGACAGTCCGAGGCAAGAGTTCCAGTGACTGGGACAAACGCAGCTCAACGTCGGCCAACTCGAAGGATAGCAAGCATCCCCAGCAGCTGCAGAAAATCGAGCGTAACTTGGACTCCAACTTTGACAGCCAGAGCACAGGCAGCCACAACAGTGCCGGAAGTTCGCCACGCAAGGGCAGCCGACAGAACGGACGCAGTCAGACACAGTCGCCGCGGCTGCTGAATGGAAACTCAGAGGCAAATAAAAACAGGTGAGTAGGTGCTTGGTTTTCATGACTCGTCGTCGCATTATTAATTCGGTGCATTCGGTCTTTGGCAGACGCTTCAGCAACAGTCAGTCGCCGCGCAAGGAGGCACAGTCTTCGCAGCAGCAACGTAATCAGCCCAATCAGCGTTCACAGAATGCCCCCCAGGGCTTTGCACAGAATCCTCAAAGACAGAAGTCCACTTTGGATGGCGGCAGCATCTCCTCCAAGCGCTCCAGCGGCGTGGAGAGTGGCGCGAGCTCTGCCAGCGAATCGGCAGTGGCCGGCAAGTCTGAAAAGTATGTGCCCCTGGACAGGGCATACTCCCTGCAGGACATGAAAACCACTGGAAAGGAGGCCGTCAGCTTGTCCTGGTGGGTATCGCCATTCCAGTTTTATGTTGTGACAAAGTCGGCGGCAGCCAAATACGACGGTCTGCTGCGCGAAATGAGACAATTCTATCGTCAAAAGTCACACCAGCCACTCCAGCTGAAGGTCGGCTCCACAGTGGTGGTGCGTCAGCGCAGAGACAATGCCATCCTCCGGGGCACGGTCACCGCTTGCAACCATATGATGCGCAAGTATCGTGTCTTCTGCGTGGACACGGGCAGCCTGATCACCGTCACCTCCGAGGATGTCTGGCAGCTGGAGCAGCGGTTCGCCAATGCCCCCTGCCTGGTCCATCGCTGCAGT